GGGCAGAGGGTTTCGCCGCTATGAAGTGCTGACAACGCGATTTCACTGGAATCAAGAGCAAAGGACGTAGATTGCGTGGGGTTTGCATTCCAGTTGTTAGCGATAAGGGCCTATAAACCACATCAATAAAGATTGTCGTAGGGCCCAGCAGCGATGAAGATGTGTGGAAGCGAACTGAACATTAAACCCCCACTGATACAAGAGGTATGTGAAGCCGAACAATAAATCGCCGCTTATTCAAGAGATATACGAAGACGGCAAGAATAGCAGATCGGCACTTATATAGAGCATATAGGGATCAATGTCAGTGCAAAACAATTTTGTCTTCGATAATGCACAGTTCCTCACAACGCTGCAACTCCTCATCGTGGCTGTGAGGTGTTCCTGGGTGTCGGGCTTCGATGTCCATCAGGGTGATTCACACCCACGCGAGAGACTCCCAAGCCGAGAAGGAGTCCAGCTTTTCCGTCAGGAACCCTAGCTAAGAGTAAACCATTACCAGGATCCACCACCGTCCTGGTATCAAAGTCGCATGGTAGCCAACCTCCCTCTGATCCACAAAGGCTGTGACTGCCTGTGGTGGTGAAGACTTGGGACAAACTTTGGCCAAGCTTACTTCGGGACTCTAGGGAACCACAATGGCTAGCAATACTCCGAAAAACGGAGATTATGCTGGGGCCCGCACAGCCAGTAGAACGGGCTAATCAAGTATCAAGTAAGTATTGAGATGACATTTATGCCTTCCATTCAGTAGGAAGTACGATAGGCAAAGAAAAAAAGACATGGTAATCACTGTATTTTAGTAGTATATCAGAAAGCTGATCGCTCTTCAGTTTTCATTCAATCAATTCACATTGCTTTCGTGCAACTAGAACCTATCAGATTTGGAAACAAACACTGTTGAAGACGTTGCCTACATGTGAAAACTTACTGGTTTTCAAGAAATTTATGAAAACAAATCGATTTTCTTGTTTTTTCCAAACGATCACCGATTGTATTGATTTTATCCTTATGTACGTTATCAGTTCTATATGGAATAAACAAGTAACCAGTTCTGAAAAATAACGAAACATGTTTTCGCAATGCCGTTATTTGCAGAAATCACTCATTTTTCGTCCTCTCTGCAGAAAATTCTCTGTTCTGTAGAAGATGAGGAAAGAAAAAAAAACAGGTAAGAAAACAGGGTTGATTTCATATCACCACATTTACTCGTACTCACTTTGGTCGACGATTGGCTCGAGCCATCTCCGACATCTCCACATGTCTATGTCGTGTGCAAAAATAATCCAGAAAACTACTTTCACTCTACGATTTGTTGATCATGTTACATTATTTCTAGGATCTAAGTAAGGAATTCTGATACCGGTTTGGTGGCCTTCCAGCAGTGTGCTTGAAAATGCAATAGGACCTAGTCGCTAACAGCTCTTGTCCACCGGTTATCGTTGTGACACACCATAGGTTCGGTCCATCTGATCATTATGAAAGGATAAAGAGTTATGCGTTAGTAAATCCGTGAAGGATGGACAACGAATTCGATCTCATCAAGCATCGCTGAGATAATTGGGACCATATTTAGCTTATGCAATGGCTTGCATAGCCATTCACCGTAACAGGTTAGGTTTTATCCTCCCAGACACCTCTGAGTACCAATTTGACGACCTTCTCTTTACGAATTTGAAAAATGGAGGGCTTGTTAACCCGAAGTGCAGGCTCGTACCAGTGATCGACCCAATGCGTATTTTAGGACACCTCTAAACACGGCGCTACACGAGCCCCACAAACGATACTCAGTAGCACACTATGGAAGTGCGCACCAATTAGTCCTAATGCAAAACGTCTAATTAATGTTTTCACAGTCGACTTGACGTTTTTGATTTTGAAAATAATGTAGAGATGAAAGATGAAGATCTCGACCTCTACGCGCATATGTAGGTTAAAAGTAGGCAACAAATGATACTACGTGTAAAAGAAAGGCTTGATCTATGTAATTCCTTGGCTCCTTTTTCATAAAATTGCAGTGATTCATTGGCAAGCATTCGCTTCCTGATTCCTTGCCACGAATGGCGAAATACTGAGGACCACATAGAGAATAAGAAAAACCTCTACATCTGCGAACTTCAATCACTAATTGGTCTTCAAAACGTTGCGCTCCTAGACCGAAAAATGAGTTCCCATCAAATCACTCCATTCATAACTATGGTATCTGATATGAAAGTGCAAACGCATCCTAAAAATTTTGTGAGATAACAAGTAAAAAAAAGTGATTGTACTGGTTGGAATGAAAGAAGACGAGCTGAGATGACTACCTAGGAACGCCACATAGACGTCCTACTCCATAGTTTATGGACAAACCAGTACCCAGTCAGGATGGTACGGTGGTATCACTAAATGTGTAACGATCATGAAGAAACTCACAGAAAACATATGGAATCCTTGTAAATAATTGGTACGTTACGGATTAGATAGATGTTTAACAGTAGACAAAAAGAAAAGTCGCACATGGTTGAGATTGGGCGGCGGGAAAACGGAAGATAATGGTGATCAGGAGCCTCCGTTTCTCAATACATTCATATATAATGATTTAACAAATATCATAATTGTCTCCATTACTACAAAAATAACTCAGTTTCAGTTGTCCGCTTCGGCTACAATAACACGGATTTGTTGTGAATCCGCATTAGCTCCGACTGTATCGTAAAATCAAGTGATGCGTAGCAAGGTAGAAGACCAGGAGTTAAGCGCTGATAAAAGACGAATGATAAGTACTAGCTCCTGAAATCCTGGTGGATTCAGAAAGCAGAACCCTGTCGTCATTGCATCGCACCCGCTTATATTTGCCATATAAATGTAACAATATTTACACAGATGTAAGCATGCTGACATTTACAAAGAAAGCCTTTGGCGAAAAATTTGTAGCAATTGACTAGGAAGAGTTTAATGTAATATGTGGCTCGAGGTCACCTTCATAAACAAGCGTACGTCAAATCTATGAGAACGCGAGCTACCGGCGAGCATACAAGTATAAACCAATCAAAAATTATAAGACAACATTTTTACATTAAAGATGGACAGCTTCAAAACTTCACATGGTTAGTCTGTGCTTCTTAGGTACGTGTAACACATAGGTTAGAAGTAGGCTGCAATATACACAGAATTCCTAGTTCGATCCCGCGCTCTGGATTAACCAAGCTATCGATTTCTCCGGGTTCCGTAAATTTGTAACAGAGTTATCTCAGAGGACAAAAAACCTGACTTAGTACATCGGGAGAGCGTCGTGAGTTGTTAACCCTGAACGCTTCATCCTTTATTATTATTCGAGTGCTAGCGTAGTATCTCTGTATTGAAATCCCTTCGGAGTTATTTCACATGTAGGACGTGACATTTAACTTTGAAACGAGTGAATAATCCAGTTGTCATCCAATTTTCCTTGACACCTGCGGTCCAGTGTTGCTAATATCTCAGCATCACTGTGGTTGTATTTCGCATTATACCCTGTTGTGAAAAACTCATAGTAGCCAGCAAATAAAAAAAGGTTAAAACATATTTATTTACATGTTCTTATGAACTGATCCTTTCGAGCTGATGCGAGGTTGCTGTAGGCCTTCGTTATTGTTATTGTTGTCATTGGTAGATGGCTGAAGTTTCAGCGATTTCGCCTTCCTCAGAACCTGGGCGTACTTTATACAATAGTAGCTCAATGAATCGATAAAAAAAACCAATTTTTTAACCCGGGTGAGTCTCGTTCGTTATCCTAAGTGAACACAAGACGAGCAGTCCCACTCGTAACAGCATGATAGATAGTTTCTTGACCAATATAGCGTTTATTTATATGTTAGACCTTCGCTAATACTTTGGTTTTCTTCACCGAATTATTGAGCTACTGTTGTATAAAATACGTCCAGGCTCTGAAGAAGGCGAAATCGCCGATACGTCAGCCATCGACCAACAACGACAACAACAACGAAAACCTACACCAACCTCGCATCAGCTCAACAAAATCAGTCTATAAGATTATATAAATAGATATACGAATCATTTATGCCGAGGTTTATAGAAAGTCGTCTTTCGAATTATCAAAATAAAACATTTCACCATTCGCGGCAACGTTTGTGATCGAAACCGCCGATGAGGGACGACTATGTCCTGGAACAGGAACAGGAACAATAGATTTGCATGCTATTAAGACTCAACATGATACCAATATTTATTAAACACGACGTGTTCTCTTAAAGGAGGTATAAGAAACTAATTTAGTTTGACAATACAACAACAGGTGTTAAGCGAAACTGAAAGAGAGAACACAAAAACGAGGAGTAGATCACTTGTTGCGCATGAAAGAAATACCACTTAATAATATGGACTCAGGATTTAGACTCCATTAAAATAGTGGAGTCCACTGCTATTAATCGCATTACGTTATTATTACATTATATTACGTTTAATTCACAACACCACATATTGAAACACCACCACTATTTTGCACCGATTCGCCGTAGTTACATAGCTACAGTGCGAAAAGTAACCGATGCTTAGTAGATGTGGTGCTAACACCATAACGGTAAAAAATCGTTTTGTTTACAAACCATAGATCAAAACTTACTGCTGCAGAACATTGTCAACAAGCGCTACTGACTGATATAACGAGTGGTTCAATGGAAATACTAGATTGTGCATATCATTGGCAACATCCGCATCTGGCCCTTCCAAGCTCTCACGTGATATAACACTGACAGTAAAATTTTACGTATAAATGAACGGAATTAATTGTGAGACGAAATGTTGAACTAATAAAATCACACAGCAAATTTTGAGCGCAGGGACTAGCGCCGATTCAGAGTGGGATCAAATAAATCATAGTGCTAAAAAATGAAATGCCATTCAACAAATTATCTATTTATCCACAGGATCAAATTTGAAATTACTAGCCTGAATGGCCTTATTAGGTTTATGAAAACGTCGCAGAAATGTAAGCAAAAATCGTGCGTGTGTGATGGAGTTCTTCACGCTTCTGCAGACGGTGGCACAGAATGTTCAATGTCCATTACGTCATCATCTTTGGAAATTGAATTCTGAAAAATGGAATGTTATCTGTACCTAATGTTAGACACATACATCTTTTCTGTGCCAATGAGCTATTAACACTTGCCAATACAGCAACGACTAATAGCGGTCTCCATAATGAATAGTATCGACTCAAGTATTTTTCACCGCTGTGCAATATGAATGAAAGTAGTGCTGAATGTTCCGTCCTTTGTTGTAACAAAAACATGTCCACGAATCTCCCTCAATATAGAAGTTTCAGAAGAGTGGTTGCAAGATTATATGTACGTTCCAAGACGGTCGACAGGAGTCGAACGCATAGCAAAGCGATTTTGTGCGCTCTATGAGTCGGGTAAATATATAAGCATTCAGGTGCGTGTTTGTAATATGTAATATGTGTGTTTGTTTGTTTCCATGTGTATGTGTCCTGGTGATGCTTAAACGCCGCTTGATCTCTTCATGTCCATTTGATAAAAATTCTGCAGCCAAATAATTCAAAGCAACACGAACAGCGGTTCTAAGTCGGCTAAATAAAATTAAATCTTAAGCTCAAATCTCAATTCCATACTAATTTCCCAAATATGAAAAATCTATAGTGCACTTGTGTAATTGCAATCCACCCATACTAGGACCTTGATCCTCTAATGACGAACTAATGATTCATAACAAGACTAAGTACGTCACCGGACTAGTTGAGATGAAAAGATTCCGCCAAACAAGCGGGATTTGTAATAAAACTGGAGAACTATAAGTTCCAACTAACCACTAACTTGGTTTAAACAGCAAAAATTTGCAGCAAATCGATGAGATGAGAGATTTACGAAAAAAGTATGGCAGTACTGGATAAAACAAAGGCTAGAAAAGACCACCCGATACTTCTATGAGGTTACTAACAATCACAGAGAGCGAAATTGGACGTAAACCGACATCAAGATGGACAGTCACTGAGCCCGGAAACGTATTAGAGAATGCTATTTGCACCTACACTATAATCTTTCCGACAGTTATGTCTAAAGCATGACATGCAATCTTTTAATCGAAGAACCAAACAACACTCAACATGCACATCCCCGGTCATCGTCAACATTTTTCAGCTCTTCACATGGTAACTCTTACAATACAAATTTCTCAGTAAACGGTGAAGCAGTAGGTCTATGCTGTTGCACAAAAAACAAGACTTACGTGATATCCCAACTATAGGCGAACCTGCATGATATCTGTTGATTGCTATACACGGGTTATTTTGGACAGAATCAATAAAAAACGTAGCAACGAAACAAAGAACTATCGCGAGAGCACAAGATGTTACTTTTTTCCATCTTCGTCTACTTGAGTTCTTTTTTTGTTTGTATTTGTTTAGACACACGTGGCAGTCGAAACCGAGGAAAATAAATAGTTTCGACAACACGAAAAATCGAAAACATGTAGAGGAGGACAAAAACGCCCATTCATTTGAGAAAGCTTAACACTCCGTAAAGCAGAATTTTTTTTTGATCCGTCTCTACGCCTACTGTGCCGATCCCAGCACTTCTTACATTCGATTGGTTTCCTCGCATCCATTGCCCACGAAGATATTCTAAATTTTACTTGTGGCTTTGGTTGCTGCTTGAGGATTTCCACTTCATCTTGAATGTCGTAGAATGCTGTTCGAACAATTCTCCCCGGAGAGCTGGGATAGCAGAACTGGAGTGCTCCCAATTTGAATGCACAGAGTGATTTTTTCCCAGGTAAGTACAGTATCAATTTCCTAACCCCGGAGGGATGAGAGGCTTGGTTGGCCCGGAGCAGATTTGTAGTACCATGCCCGTGATGACGGACATTACCGCTGTGCTAACCGCCCCTGTAGAGCAGAATACGTCAATGATACCTAGATGGAATGCAAACAACTTGTCCCCACAGAATGTCAACCGTAGAACAGGATGACAAGCGATCATATAGTGATACTTCATCATAAAAACCATTTGAGCAGAAAGATGATCGTTCCAGAAAGCTCAGCTCACTAAATAAGGACTTTCTCGGTGTTCGAGTCAGTCAACGAGCATTGAAGTGATAGGTGACAACGGTGATTAGAAACATCAGGAAAACTATGGAAAGAACTCCGAAGACCGACTTTCTGTTTAACCTTGGCATTGATAAACAACTGGTTATTTCCTTGATAAGCACACATGATGTTGTTATTACTTAGTATTTATTCACAACAGCTAATGTTTGGGCGGATTGCTAATTCATCACAGCTGAAAGGTCAAGTTAACGGGTACCGCACAACCACAGAAGATGGGTCATTCAAGTATCCAAGTATGTTTCACAAAGACAGTACCTTGTTTGATTCAAAATACTCCAAATGATATGATGGTTGACTGCTAATTGCACTTGAATCTACGTCGGTGGTAGACGTCACCATTGCTTCCTCAGAGCCATCTTAAAATACGAGTTGAGAGAAACTACATACCTATTTGGAAAAACCTTCACGAGTGAAGGTATCCAGCAAAACAAAACCTATTACATCCCGAAAAATTTAATGGACACATGAAGCAACCTACTAGGCACACTATTTGCCATCTGAGATTGCGATGATGGAGGATCGTCATAGCGAGGTGACTAAAGAACAAAATTTAAATGCATGCATTAAATCATCCATAGTTGTTCCCAAAAACTACCCACCTCCCTTTCCCTTGTCCTATGTCTTTCACGATCTTCACGATCTCGACGACTTCTATCGCCCCTCTCTGATCTATCACGATCTCTTCGTCGTTCGCTATCCCTGTCTCTGTCGCGGTCCCTATCTCGGCGGTCCCGATCTCTGTCGTCTCGTTCGCTTCGATGTCTATCTCTCCCGTCCCATCGGCTACTGCTTCTATCGTCCGAATCATCCCACCTACTTCTTCGCTTCTCGCTTCTGCCCTCGTCACGACGCCTATCTCTTTCGTTATCCCTTTCCCTCTCATCTCTACTTTCATTCCAACCTCGCGCTGTACCTCGATCCCCCTTTTCGTTCCACGAGCGTCTACTATCTCTTTCTGCGCTTTCATCGGTCCTTGAGAGAGTAACGCTAGCATTTTCCCTACCAATGAACTGTCGATCTCCATGATAACTGCTGTTTCCACGGCCTCCAAATCCACTGTATCCTCCTTAAAGATGAACAATTTAAGAGCTCGAAAAATTAGATGAAATGACAGTCCTCACCTCTAAACCCAGAACCACCACCTCCAAATCCACCTCTCGTCGGTGGGCTGAAATGTGATGAAGCTACATCAAGGGGCCCAGAGCCTCCCAGCACAGACGGAGCAGTTCTCATAGGCCCACTATGCATTCCAGAAACACCAGCAATCGGTGGTGGTATCGACGATGGAGGTGGAATTGGTGCAGGTGGCGGTATTCCTGTCGGTGGTGGCATCATCAAGCCACCTGGACCTCCAGGAGGCATGCCGAACATCTAGAACAATAAATTGCACAAAATCCAAAAAGATAAATCCCAGTATAGCTTACATGACCAGGCATCCCTGGTGGCATTGCTGGAGGTATACCGGGAGGCATAGGTAGACGCATTGGAAATCCTGGCGGTGGAACCATTTGTGGTGGAGGCCCCATGAACGGATTAGGGCGATGAACTGGTGGTGTACCTGAAATTAATGTTTACAACTTTTCTTCTTTAGAAGAGGTACAAATATTTCTACGCACAAGTCAAAACTCACCCATAAAAGGAGGGAATGTGGCTGGTGGCGGCACCGCTTGCGGTATAGGAGCAAGAGCAGCAGGCGAATCCGGCACAAGTGACTTAATGGGTGAAGCATGCATTGAGGTAGGAGGAGTTGACGGCGAAGAGGTATCAGTTTTCGAAGGAGGGGCGGCAGATGAAAGTGTAGTTGTCAATGCACCAGTGTCCAAATACATGTCTTAAACAATTATTTACAGTAACGAAACGCTCAATGTAAACTAAACAGGAAGGAAAAAAAATAGAACGAATGAATCTGGACAAAAATGGATTCGGAAACCCACGTAACAGAAATGAAAACAAAGGAGACAGATATTACTTAAACTTACGTCTCTTCTCGGGAGGTAGTGTCTCCACGTCTAGATATGAACCCTCACAAAACTGTTCCATATCAGAGGGAAGCTGATCCCACGGTATCTGAGAGATTCCATATTCACCATCCCAATACTTAGCTAGGTCATTTTCCTTCATTCCAGCACCTTTGGCCCAATCCACCTGAATCAGATATAGCTAAAGGTGACATACCATCGAAATTTCACGAAACACCATACAGTTATTGGGCTGTACCTTCACATTTTTCCTTGCTATTTGCAAATCCCTAGCCAATTTTTGAAGAACGTCGTATGCCGCCTTCCTAGAGCTCATCGTTGCATATGCACACGCTCTAGACCCAATGAGATTCACGCGACTGATATCACCAACACTGGCAACTGCTGCCTTAAGTAACCTTCTATTTAGTACCACAGAGATTAAACGGCTAGATTAAAACAATATTCTCAAAATTACGTTCGTATCAGCAACAATGTTCGAAATTAGATTTAGATGACAAAGGATAAAGCTCTCAGAGTTGATCAATCCCTAAGGGATGCGCCATGCATTTGACCTCATTAAGTACCGTTGGAGGTGATTGAATGCATATCTGGCTTTCACAATACCTCGCGGTGGCCTACCGATGTATCGAGCCAGTGCTGCTATCCTCCCAGAAAAATCTCGTACCAATTTTCCAACCTCTGAGGGATGGAATGCTTAATGAGGCGCGAGCGCCGGGATCGAACCTATGTGTACTGCTAGGCGCCTCCAACCATTGCGCTACACGCACCCTATAAATTTAGACGAGTCATGAGAAACTCGTTCATCCAAACTACAGAGTAGAAATCAAGAGACCTAGTTAATTAGCAATTTGACCTGAACATTTTTCATACCGACCGTCATTTAAGCTCGGCATAAGTATATTTTGTTGAATTATTTATCAGAACGACGGCACATTTCCAAAACCATCCTTTAAAAAACACGCAGGCTTAAACAGAAAAACTGACCTTAATGTCATTTTCACTGCAGTTGATTGGAAGACGACCAAACCAGAGCGTCTTGGAAGCAACTGAAAATTGTTGCTACAATATCAATGCGGAAGAAATGGAAGACGTGATGAAACACCAAAAGAAAGTCAAACAGAGCCTGAATTTGAAATCACCGAGAATGAGGAGCATTTCTATCTATTCACACTCACTTATAGTCATTCCTTCTTGTACAGCAGGCAATCCTAACTTCCTACGTTCACGGTCTACTTTCTCAACCTTACGTTCTTTCGACCTGAACTAAAACGTTGTTATGGCATTTTCGCAAGAAACGAAAAACTGTTGTAATTGAAACTTCACCTGCTTCTTCGTTTCTTATGATCTGCTCGATCCCTCGAACGACTTCTCTTCCGATCCTTCCTGCGGATGTCTTTATCACTCTAAAATGTGTAGACCGATAGAAACCTGCTAAAAAACGAATGTTTAGAAAAAGTTGACCTCATTGTCGTCGGTCACCATAGCCAGTGAAGCGGTCGATAATGGACCGATTAACTGCGCTGGTGCAGCACCTAGTAGACCAAGACCGGCTGTTGTAGGTACGCCAGCTAATGTCGTTTTGCCACTTGCAGCTAGCTGTTGAAGTAATTCCTGCAACAATCTATTATCTCTATCGTGATACCATTTCCGGTGATGTTTAGTTGCCAAACTAAACAATTTGATTTTTTTCAGCTTATATAAGTGTACATATTTATATACATGTGCATACACGTATGTATATAATACATATATATGCAAATAATCGGCAATCGATAACCTGCTGTTTAGCCAGCTGATTTGGGTCGAGACCTCCAGCCATTGAAACAGGTGCTGAACGACCATTAGCGAATTGCAAATTTGACAACGTTCCAATTTTGGAGACCTTAACTAGCTCTTTTAGGAAAAAGGGGATTCAAACTTTACAGGTACTGCACCTAAAACACCTATTTCGAACGGTATCTGAAATACAGGTATACTAATTTCAGAACGCAGAACTTGAAAGTGACGATACAAACCGACTTACTAACGAATTGTTGGCTAATAAATTCAGCAAAGCTTGATTTGGCTGTGCTACGTTTGCCTGATTCAGGGCTGACAACTGTGCTAGATTGATTGACTGAAGACCTGCCAAACTTTGTAGACCTGACAAACTCTGCACAGTGGGCAAGCCAGCGATGCTAGGTAATCCAGCCTGTAATAGGCTAACGGGTGTGAACTAAAACACACATATTGAAGAAGGATGGTTTGCAACAAGAAAGCTATAGTAGGATAACATACGGGAACGCTTTGTGGCAATGAAATGTTGGGTGGAAGGCCTTTAGGAAGACTAATTCCCTGGATTTGGGCACTGGTAGGTAAACTTGTTGTCCCCGTAGTAGTAGTAGTAGTCGAAGTTACTGCCCGCTGTTGTGTCTGTGCGGCAATCTGGTAATGAAAATCACATTTTAAATAGGAGAAATACCGTTTCCATAGCCTTAAAATATAAAATTAGCTCGCAATTAAAGAGCTTCATTTAATAACAAAAAGGGAAAGTCGAAGATCCCATTCAATTGCTATGCAGCTGAATTTAAAAAACTCACCTGATTTAGTACAAGTATCCTCTCAGCGTGCATATGTTTGAATGCAGCGATCACATTTGGATCCTCTATTAAATTTCTTGCTATGCTGAAAAATCATTCCATACATTTGTTACATGGTCTTTTGAGTTTTCTAATCCTTATCGTAAACAAACAATAACAATGAATGAGGTTTGACTTGCAGATGTTTAGATGCATTAGATAACTCCCTCCCCACTTTCGATGAAATAAAAACTTTTTAAACAATGACTGAAAGGAACCGTTAGAAAATGTAATACTTTGGTGGGTACAGATCTTACGAATATGCAAAGAACGACGATGTTTAACACAAACTTTACTGTACTAAGAATACCAAAATAGAGCCAGCGATCGCAACTAATACCTTAATAGGTCCTCTTGGCAAACTTTCGTCACATTAGGCCTTTTAGCCTTTTTACTATCGTCGCCATCATCCTCCTCATCACTGTAATCGAATTGACTCGATAACAAATCCTGAAATTGACAGAAACATAAGAAATTCTCCAATTAGTATGTTTTAAACAATATGATACAATAACTGGATGCTTGGGAACAGCGATTCCTAAGTTATGCAAAACAAAATTATAAGATGAAAAAGAAAATACCTTTATCTCCGGTTTGTCTCCTACTGCCCGTATTCTTGCATCAAGCGCACGACAAATAAGCTGAAAAAATCAACTCGAAAGATTATTGTTCAAAAAAACACAGAGTCACAACGAGGGAAAAACCTCGGTCATGGGAAAAATCTAAGCATTTCTATGCTCGTAATTTAGTTTCGTAAAGTTCGTCATAAGTTTAAACACATCTATTAAATGGTCAGATGATTTTCGGCTACCTCGAAGGCATATGGTTTGTGTTGCTGTGTGCTAAAAAGCTAAAAGCTCTTGACGTTGATACATCCATGAGGGATGCGCCATTCATTCGACTCCATTAAGCATCGTTTGGAGGTGATTGAATGCATATCTGGCCTTTACAATGACTCGCGGTGGCCTACTGATATATAGAGTCAGGTCACCTACTCTGCCAGACAAGTACTTGTATGTATCCTGTATCCTATCTGGTATCAATTTGCCAACCACGGAGGGATGAAGGACTTGATAAGCCTGTAGCGCGGAATTGATCCCATGGGTATTGCAAGGTGATTCTTACCACGGCGACATGCACCCCAACCGATAAGGTCTTTCCCATGACATTAACAATTTAGACGAGTTCCGCGATAATGCGAAACGACTTCCTAACTCAAAAATGAATAAAAATAAACCTTAAAAACTCGACATATAAAAAAATTTGGAGTAGAATAACTAATAGAAATGTCAGTACTCCCTTGTGGTATAAATAATATGTTTAAAGGAAATAGCTTTAAGGGTTAAGTTACTCACCCCGTGAGCTTTTCTTAAAAGGACGATATCATTCTTGAATGCGCCGCTAAACTCAAAGTTTGCATCCAGAATCATATCCAACAGTTTCCGTTCACTCAGCCCACCTGTAATAACTTTCAACATCAGACATCACTCAGAATATTTCCCTTTGTTCAGCGAGCCCACTTAGTAGCAAATTTTAATAGCACATATGACCCAATATGTGCTGACCAATATAACATCCAATACATCTCTATTTTGGTAACCATCCGATTTGAGTAACACTTCATAGCAAGGTACAACCACAGCTGTGGAGACTAAAGGAAGTAAACATTATCCGCAAAAAAAAATGGAACTTACATGGAGGTACATCATCTGATGGCTCGTTGTTAAGATCACTAACAGCACCAAGTAAAGGATCATGGCTTAACTGAGGCACCACACCTACGAGTTGCGATGGAGTCGGCAGTGGTGGAGTGGTTGACGGAGCCTAGAGATAACATTTATTTGTCACAAGAGATACAACTACCCATCATAACGCGCCAAATCACGTGAACCCCAATGAAAATGTCAAGAAGCATTAACTTTAAGGAAAACTTGATGAATCTCTTGTAAGAGAGAGTAATACAGAAATCTCACCGGAACGGACAGGTTCTGCTGCTGGATGTGTGAGCTGGAAGTGGGAGAATCTGAAGCTGAACTGCGACGTTTCCTTTTATCTTTCTCTTTCACACGCCCATAGGCGCCACCATATCGGGACATGTCCGCTTCGTCTCCTTTTACTAAGCGCTCAACGCGTTCTATATCCGTTTCTAAACAGATGAAATAAGAAGCAGAGAACTGAATTTCCAACCTCTACGAGGATCGTTAAACTTTTGAAAAACAGTCCAACTTAAAACGGACATTTAAACCCATCTACTACAAAATTGATCGATAATAGACAAAACAACTCAGGAAATAACTAGATTACATGTGATACCACTTGTTCACAAACCCATAAAGCTAACAGAAAGTCAACTAGGGTTTACAGTGTTCGTACCTATTCCCATATCACGACATTGTTGTTTGAACGGTGCTAGCTGCTCTTCTGTGAAGACACCATTTGCGCCCCATAAATTCAATGTTCGAATCACACGAGGCTAAAAACACAACCATTTGAAAGCATTTGAAACTACTTACTGTACCTGTCCTTACACTCCTTTTTTCATTATCCTTTTACTTTTTATTATACATGTACAACAGATGACCATGGATCTGATGCTCATGGAAAGGGTGACAGATGAGAAATATCACAGGTGAGTCTAGTTTTTTAAAGAAATCCCCTTGACATTACTCAAACAAGGTCCAATGCGATTTTCTTGTTCAATACAGGCCAATCGATTTTCAGGACATGGTACGCTCGTTTTCATCCCATTGTCTTTACAAAACGAATACTGCCTGGGCATTAGCCAATACAGGCTAATACTGCTGCATTAAGGCTAAATTAAGCTCTCAGCTTTGATCAGTCCTTGAGGTATGTACCATGCATTCAACTTCATTAAGTACCGTTGCAGATGACTGAATGCATATCTGGTCTTTACAAGAACCCCAGGTGGCCCACCGTTGTATCGAGTCAGTGCTGCTATACTCCCAGACAACTCGTAGCAATTTTCCGACTCCAGGGATATAGAGGGCTTGCTGGGCGTGGGGAGCAAGGATTGACCTCATGTGTATTGCAGAGCGCCTCCGCCTACTGCGCTACGAGCGCCCCCACTTGCACTACACTCATTGGATCTACACCATTGTGTATATGCCCTTTGGCAAAAAAAGAAAAAATAACTAAAATGAACTAAACTAGTCCGATACAGCACTTACCTGATCACAAACCGGACATGAAAGCAGATCCGACAAAGTCTTAGAGAAATTTTTGAGAAATCGTGAAGCAAAAACGTCCTTTTCCTTTAGTTGATGCTTTGACGTACGGATAATACTGTCGATAACGTACAAGCATGGTATTTTGTACTCAATTTTGCACTGAAATTCAGACGGACTTTGACGAAGATCTTTTTAAAAAACTGAAAACACATTAACGGCTGTTCGTAAGGAAGATTAAAAGAATGACAGCCATTGAGCTTTAACCATAACCATGCTGAGACATTTGCAAAACTCCGGACCACTGATGTCTGCGGTGGGTATGGAACAGGATAAAACCTTTTCCGGAGGCTAACGCGTTCACCACCACATCATGCTAGTCCTTAGTTTCGCCGTTCTCTCAATGACAACATTATAGAGCTTCACCTTAGCAAGGAACTTCTCCACACTGAAGACGACATGTTTATAGTAGCTTTTGGCCTTCAGGGCCACTTTTGCAATATCCTGAATCTTCTTTTTACTGAGTGGCGGTTTTGAGTCGTAAACTGACGTCAACTGCAATGAAACGCCTGGATAAGCAAGAAAGTAAAGTGGTAACAATCACCATTTAGAATCAGCCAATAAAATTATTACAAATATAACAGCTAGGATTTGTTTAAACGATGTAAATATCCAAGGGTCACTAAGAACCGCATATAAATAGGTTATGAGCAGCACCCTAAGATCATTAAAAAAAATCTTACCTCCGCGTTAAAAGCCTTAACGGACTCCGTATCCATTTTCTTAACGAGTAAAATCGAGAAATAATGGAAGTCTGTTAACCTAAAGTAGTATGGAAAAGCATAAGTCATGTAATAGTTCCCAGGATCGACTTTCTCTTAACCTCGGCATTGGAATATGAATGTGTCGTTTTCTTGTTCAGCAATCGCGAGGTTTTTAAACAGCATACATTAGAACATAGTTTAGAACAGCTGATTATAGTCGCATGTGGTTGACGACTGCACCATCCCACTTCCTCATTGGAAGTCACGAAAAAGCGGCTCTGAAGAAGGCGATACTGCCGAAACGTCGGCTAGCGTTGTATTGTATTGTGTTTTTATGGAAGTAAATGTATGCTGTTTAAAAACCTCGCGATTGCTGAACAAGAAAACGACACAAGCATAAGTCAATACAAAATTCTATAACGTTCTTAAATCTCTGGAAAGGAAAAATCTTCATGATATCCTAGACGGGTAAGGCTTCGTCAGTGGCGATGACGCTAAGATAAATTGATGCCGCGAAAGTAACGAACAAAAGCGGTGGGTCCCACGACGACCTCAAGATTACGATACAGTCGGAGACTAGACATCTAGTCCAGTCAGAACAGGACTTTTGCTAGCTCAGCATTTGGTTGACTCTGGAATACTAACAGGTTTTCTTCGTTACTTTGTTTTGACACTGAATTTCGTTACTGTTTGCTTAAGGGATTCATGACTGGTCTGTTTCCGAAGTCCATTTTTATCGCGCGGATGTCCGAAAGCTGGCTTTCTTATGAAAAAACACTTACAGATAGTTTGGACGAAAGTTGTCTCTTTCATTGTCCTCGGTCCAGTCATCGTATCTACTCATGGGTTGTTCTTTGCGCACATGAACGTTTTCGTGTGCTCTAAACTTTTTTCGGTGGATCCACAAGATGTTATTAATACATTTACAATAGTTTAAGCCATAGAAGGGTCATGCAGAGTGTTAAAAATGGAAACAGAGAAGCAAAATACTTAGCTAGCTGAGAGAAAACTTGGTGGGGTAGGGCAAAGCAAGGGCCTCAGTGATGCAATGTGCAACACGTGAACCTCCGAAAGAGTAATCGCGGGTTCGATCTGGCCTGGGGTCCAAGTTTTGCAGATATCTCAGCATCATTGAGGTTAAAATACTTAGCCATTCAATTTTAAGCGCATTTCTGCACCTATATCTCAGCTCATAATGAACTTCCCTGAATTGAAATGAATATCGGGACCTACGAGATCTGGCGTCTATCTTGTCTCCCACAAAGTTTTCATGTCTTGATATACTTCACTTTTTTTACAACAAATTAACAGCATTTAGCAGAAAAATCCGCAGGCTCATCGTTGTGTTTGAATAATCAATAGGAATTTGATGTGATGGATGTGGTGGTGTGTATTCCGTTCGCCAATAAATTGGCACCATTCTGCTGACTGCTGATTCTACCGGTGTATCGATCCAGTGCTGCTATCCTCCCAGACAAGTCTGGTACCAATTTGCCTACCCCGGAGCGATGGAGGGCTGGTGAGACTAGGGCGCGGGGATCGGTCCCATGTGCCGTGCAGAGCGCCGCCGACCCCTGCGCTGTACGCGCCCTTTGTGTTTGAAAAATCAATAGCAATTTTCATTGGTGGTGTGTATCCTATTCGTTGCTGAATTGGCACCATTCTGCTGAAAAATTTCCAATGCTTGGGACAAAAGTCTCATGGTGTTATGCATGTGTCTACTTATATTTCTCCGAAATATCTTTAATACATAATCTGGCGGTCTAGCACCTCTGGAAGAATCTGATGCACAAGCTAGAAATATCGGGTTTTCCACTGGGTTTCGATTTTTTGCCAAAAATTCACAGCCGGCAATAGGATTTGCTAATAAATGCAGAGTCAAGAAAATCATGGTCATTTGATACCGCAGAAAATAGCCTGCCTTCCCAACAAGGAACCAGTTTTACTCTTCCACGTGCAAGTGATGTTGTATAAGAATGAGAAACGTGAAAAGGCGATGAAGCAGTGCCGGATTGGAACAACAATGGGTCATTGGATCAATAAAGTTTGTCGATTACATATTTTAAAGCTGATTGTATCATGTACACCCGTAAAACTATGACGTTCAAGTCTGACAGTGGTTTCCATATTCCTGCTATAAATTGAAGGTGGGAAGAAGTTCAATTTGTTTCTTTGGAGAAGATCAGTAACAGCAAACCCAAAGTACTCCGTTGCGGTGAGACCTTTTGTTTTTGCGGAGAGATCTTACCTGTTCACTGTACCGCATTCTTCGAAATATTTTGTGGATCTAGTCCAGCTTACAAGGATGGTCAGCACCTGTTTCCTGACCGTCTACGCCTTGATAGCTTTGCTATCTGTTTCTTTAGTCACGCATTGAAGCATATCCTTTCAAGCTTTGAAGACTCAGAGGGCGGATCCGATGCATTCGCAACCGGCGAGATGAAAACTATCGTCTGCCGGTCTGCATCAGCTGTAGTCTGTGCTACTATTAAATTGTGTGTGGTTGTTTTTACCTGTGTTAATGATCTAAGCTTTGTCGTATGCTAATTGAGTGTACTTAAGTGCTAACAGGAGATTCCGTTTGACGGGAGAACTGCTGATAGTGAAGTGGCTGGCGACGTAGTCCATCAGGAAGCAAGGTGCTGCAGTGACGCACTCCCTCACCCTCCCAGTTCACGTGAGAACGCCTTAGCCCAGCCTTCTCCAAGATTGCAAGGAGAACAGAATGTGTAGACTGGACCAGTACTCTGCGACATTTTGATGAAAATGAAGTCGTGAAGCAGCAGCCAAAGCAACACACGAAATGCTTTGGACGGTGAACGAGAGAAAAACGAATCGAGTGAAAGCCCTACAATATGCTGTTGGAGTGGAGCCATGGCAAGAAACTCACCTACATGCTTGGATACTTGGACGACCCATTTTCACGAATTTTGCGGTCCCCAGCACATTTACTGATTTCTTTGCCTCGCCGTCGTAGTCGGTGGTGGCGGTTTGATTCAAGCGTGGTGGCAGATGCGTTTTCCATCAATACGTTTGCCTTTCTCATCCCAGTCGAGTAACTTTGTTATCCACAACAGTGCGCCACTAAACAACTTTGGCGATACTGTGCCGCCTTGTCGAACTCCTCTCCTTACGGGTACAGTAAGAGGTCGATGAAAAGGCTGCATTTTTTTGTGCATTTCCGATAACAGTCAGATTGAGTTCTTGTATAGGACGGGTCCACTGCTTGGTTGACGAACGCTGATAGGATTGCATTCGTTTCATTCGTTTCTGTACTATCAAACGTTTTTTCATAGACTGCAAAAGTCAGGACTAGGCTCGGTGGTTTTTCCGTCACACTTCGGTGGCCCTGGAAACAGTTCCAATGCGGCCCAAACAGCCAAATCCCTTTCCAAATCCTCCTTTCTCAACCGGTTTCGCCTCATCCGAGGTTTTCGATATACGCAAAAGGATAGTCTTCGTGAAGTGCTTGTTGAGTACACTCAATAAGCATAACGAGCGATGGTTACGAAGATCCCTTCCTTCAGTCACTTTTTTTGGGCAGGCTAACCATGATCGGATGGAATGACAGGAAAGACACCTAAAATTTCATAAACGGTGCGAGAATTCGGAATAGAAAATCGGCACAGGAATGGAGATATCTTCTTGGTCTCTTATTCCCACACCGTATCCTTTGCGGAAATGATTAAAATAGTATAGTTTTCATGTTTGTTGCTGAGTGCTACTTCCTAATCATATTACTATCCGAATCATCTTTAATTATTTGAATAGTGCTCAAAAAGCACTATTTTTTGGCGTGCACACATTTCCATCCTCTCATTTCTCCTGTCTATGTTTTCCACAGTTTTTTTTTACTGTGAATGAGCATTTGTAGCTCTTTTTAGGTTTGAAAACTGAAGTATTAGCACTGGGGAAGTTGCTGAGCTTACGCGAAGTTGATAAACAGGCTTCATTCGCCCAACGTTTCCACTTCTTCGTCTTCATCAGAGCCGACTCGACTGTAGACCATCTATTCAGATCGTTGGCTCCGATCAAGATGAAGATGTCGAAACGTCAGGCGAGAAAAACTTTATATCAAGCTCTTGTAAGCTCAACAATTTAAATACGCGTTGAATTATCATACCGAGGTTAAAGGATAGTTGGTTTTGAAGTACAAAGTGTTACTATTTATACTGTTGATTTCCAGAATGAACCATGCTGCCGGAGCGATGGCTGTGAGTCCATTCCCTGCTCCTCCCGATTATGCTCAGCACTACACAACCGAACGTATCAGTCAAGGTACCGTACTGCCTCCACCGCCTGTTCAAACGGTATTCACTGTGTTTGGAGAAGAGTACCGATTAGAAGATGACATTATCCGGTTAGTTTTTAACCTATATTTCCTTCACAGGATTAATCATTATTCGATTTCCATGCCATCACGTTAGAGTTTATCAACTAGCGTTAGCATTTTGGTTTACGGCTTAACTTGTCTTCGTTTTTGATTTTCCCACTAGTTGATCCAGTTATATTCAATTTAGTTCGGTGCATGGCTTAGTTAAACATGTAGTGATTATACTTATATGTGACAGTAATACAGCAGTAGATTTACAGTGTTACAGCTGATTTGTAGTTCCTTCGCAGAAGGAATGTACCACTGTCTCTTTTCTGAGAAATAGATATTGTATTTTCCAAACGTGTATATAGAGGCATCCTAATGGTTGACCGCCGCCTCATCGTGGCGTGACTGGGAGGTGTTCCTGGGTGTTGGGCTGCAGTGTACAGCGGGGGATTCATCACCCTGGCAGAGTCTCCCAAGCTGAGAAGGAGTCCGGCGTTTCCATCAGGTAGCCCATCTAAAGGTAAACCAACACAAGGATTCGTCATCGTTCTGGTACCAAACTAGTCGCGTGGTGACAATTCTCCCCTTAGGGCGGCGGCTACCTGTGGTGGTGACGACTTGGGGTAGACTTTGGCTAGGCTTACCTCACGACTCCAGAGAACCACAGTGTTTAAGCCAGCACTACTCTGAAAAATGTGAATTATGCTAAGGCGCGCACAACCAGCGAAGACGAGCCATCCAAATATTTCTCTATCCCGTCACCAAATCTCCAACCACATGTCTTGTGCAGTGAGTGGTCCAAGATAATCGATATCTTGTTATTAGTATTTCTCAAAAAAAAAAAGAAAAATTCGGACGTGTTTATTCTTCAGTCCATTGAAGGTACGGTTTAGGAGGGTGTGAAGATGGGTGAGAGTATGACAGATGAGAGAGTGGCTGCTATGTTTCCGCAGCACACATTCAAATACCTGTGGCTGGCGGCGTTGGCAACAGATGCTTTTCAGCTTCCATATTGCTTCGTTATCTGATTGTGGACTTTGGGAGAACGCTATTCAGCCATTCTAGGAGGAAATTTGCATAAGCCAGAATGGTTTTATGCTATGTGTTTGGTGACGTTGTCTTAGCATCTATGAAAATTACGCAGCACGTTAAATGGTTAGAGAGGTATTGACGACAGGGGTTTCAAAAAGCTAGTAGTTGGAATTCACAAGCTGTTTAAGAAAATTCGTCCATAACGGCACAAGGACGGTATTAGATCTAAGCACGTTGTTGGAATATGTTGTCAGGATCTCGCATTCTACAACAAGTTTCTAGATCAAATGATTATTGTGATATCAAAATTGTGATTATAACTACAGCCTCGGCTTAACTGGGTTCGTTGCCGATTTGGGCCCGAGGATCAATCCTGCTGACGGGTGATTGCTGTGGCAAAGATCGATAGAATTAGCTGAAAGACACGCGAAACGAAGGACCTGCATGGTGTGGTGGTGAACGCGTTACTCCCGGAAGGGAAAATAGCGCGTTCTTTCCCCACCGTATACACCTGTGGTCTGGAGTTTTGCAATACCGCAGCATCATTCAGATGATTATTGTTGGCCGCTATTGTGCAAGACCTATAAGATGGGTTAAGTTTTACCTTACGGTGTACAAGTGAAGTTTACGCCTGACCTGGTAGCCAGCTCATTATGCACATAGTGTTGTGCGAGCGTATGTCACAGTGGTATGCGACCATGTGTCACTGAAGTCTCTAAAAGTTACTTCTCTGCAGCTGGTCCGACCTATCGTAGTGTAATAGGTGTTTGAACAACGCACTGGAATTTGTATCACATAATAACCTCCCAATGGTCTACCCCACCGCTGTGTGTGGTGTTCCTGGACGTTTGGCTGGGTTGTGCAGCGGGGAGATTCATTCCACAAACGGCCTCCGAAGTTGAGAAGAGGTTCGACGTTCCCATCCAGAGACATAGTTAGGGATAAACCTATATCAGTAGCAGGATCCACCACCGTCTTGGTATCAAGTAGCATAGTGGCGAATCTCCCGCTGATCCACAAGGGCGGAGAATGCGTGTGGTGGTGAGGACGTGGGGCAGACCGAGACTAGGCTGACTTCGGGACTGCAGGGAACAACGGTGCCTAAACCAGAAAATTCCGAAAAAGTGGGAATTGTACTGGGCCTCCCACAGCCAGTGAAGAGGGGCCATCCACGTATAAAAGTAAGTAAGTAATCTACCAGCTTCATTGTGGTTACATCTCACGTAATACCCTGCCATGAAAATCATAGTAGGCAGCAAATAAAAGGTTAACATTAAGTAAGTGATCGTCTTTAATCGCCGATGTGGACAAATGGTGGAAGTTTAATTAGGAAAATCACTCTGGTCTGATTATAAAGAATTTTTATAGAGCTATTGCTTCTAGGAACGTCTTCATGTTTTTCGTGAAGTAGTAGTTATACATTTACAGGTCTCTTGCTTCTCAGAATATCAAACAGCTGTATCCTACTAAATACGACTGGAAGACGGAGATGAAGAAACTGAACCGGTCTGTTCTACCCTACCTACCTTGTTTTCAATTCAACTTTCTGTACTAGTCTCTCTGTTTTTGGAACCCGAGTTATGTTTAAGCCTTATGGTTGTTAAACCTATTTTTACTTCTGGTTTGGATTTAGCTCGATTATTGTTTATGAATTTTGACTTTAGAAGTGTTGTGGTGGCTTTCCTTGATCTCCTCGATATACTCGTTCGTTGTCCAGATCATCCGGAGAGGAATGAGAAGATAAACGACATACAAACCATCTTTATCAATATGCACCATCTGATCAATGAATATCGGCCGCTTCAAGTTAGACGCTATTTTTATGAATGTGTCGTTTTCTTGTTCAGCAATCGCGAGGTTTTTAAACAGCATACATTTACTTCCATAAAAACACAATACAATACAACGCTAGCTGACGTTTCGGCAGTATCGCCTTCTTCAGAGCAGCTTTTTCGTGACTTCCAATGAGGAAGTTTAGAACAGCTGATTATAGTCGCATGTGGTTGACCATGTGGTCATTGGAAGTCACGAAAAAGCGGCTCTGAAGAAGGCGATACTGCCGAAACGTCAGCTAGCGTTGTATTGTATTGTGTTTTTATGGAAGTAAATGTATGCTGTTTAAAAACCTCGCGATTGCTNTGTGTCGTTTTCTTGTTCAGCAATCGCGAGGTTTTTAAACAGCATACATTTACTTCCATAAAAACACAATACAATACAACGCTAGCTGACGTTTCGGCAGTATCGCCTTCTTCAGAGCCGCTTTTTCGTGACTTCCAATGACCACATGGTCAACCACATGCGACTATAATCAGCTGTTCTAAACTTCCTCATTGGAAGTCACGAAAAAGCTGCTCTGAAGAAGGCGATACTGCCGAAACGTCAGCTAGCGTTGTATTGTATTGTGTTTTTATGGAAGTAAATGTATGCTGTTTAAAAACCTCGCGATTGCTAAACAAGAAAACGACACATTCATATTCCAATGCCGAGGTTAAGAGAAAGTCGGTCCTGGGAGCTATTTTCATGGTTATTTTCGTCCAATTTTACCCTCGAGTTCTCTTTTCCTTTCGGATTTCTTGAAGAGAATGCAGGTTACATTCCATCATTGTGGACTGTTTACCTGTTTTTCCTACTTCTGAAGAAATCTTATCGGCAAATTTGCGAGATCTAACATTGTTCCGTACTCACTTTTTTAGGCACGGGACACATTACGAATGATGCAAAGTCAGCAGTTGAAGGAACTTAAAAAGACGGTTAAGCGATTCAAGTGAGTTTTCCGTAAAAAAAAAGAACCGTTGATTTTCTTAGTTTCCATATTGATTAAGCTTGTTTTTCTTCCATCAGGTGGAGAATAGAGAGTAGAAATTTATTGAATACCGAAAGTGTCTATATACTCTCCATGGAACGGTCTGTTTAGGATTAAGCTCCTAATCTGTTGTGCTAATTGACTTTACTTTTAGTATAGATGTAAACATAAGGTTGAAGACGATGCACCATGTTCATATGGTGACGAAATTCAATCAGATGGCGTGAGAATATGATGTTCCACGTACATTGCTCTCATCGGATTTCGGTTGGTTTGCGGCCGAAATTATTGCGGAAGTCTTGTACAGTCGTGCCGTTGAAAACCACAGTTTCTCCTTTCCACAATGACATAATCATTCACTTAGAATAAGTACTCGCTTAAGTACCATGTCGCTAAAATTCTTGAGCTGTACACTTGTGAACACTGCGCATAAATTGAAACGCGATAGTTCAGGAACTTAATGATTCACAGCTAAACCTGTTTCACTTAACTCGCGGCATCGTCCTCGTGCAACGGATCATTAACCGACTGTAGTCACATGTTTAACTCTTCAGTTCTTTAATAACCATTACTTCGAGAACTTGTCGTAGATGTTTTTATTTTTCCTTATCCGTTTCCACATCTACTTTGCGGATTCCGGCACTTCTTCCATCCGATTCTTCGGATCCAACCTACACGAAGGTCTTCAAACTTCTGCGCATTGGGTCGGCTGCTGCTTGAGAATTTTCGTTTTGGCTATGAATGAGTGCATGTCAAGTCGACTCTCCTCGAAGTTAGAGCGTTCCCACGTGGAACTCTATAGGAGTGAGCTATTTCCCAAACAAGTCTGGTACCAATTTCCAGATTATGGAGAGATGAGAAATCTCATGGACTCGATGTGGTGTCGAACTAGTCCGTGATTGTGTCGAACGACTTCACTGCCACTGCACCACCTATTCCTGTCCTTGAATTAGTGTGGTAAATTTGATTTCAAACTTGTCCAGTGATCCATTGGAAGAATGATGCTAAAGTATTTCTAGGAGGGATAAAAAGTATGTTGAAGACAGTGGTAATGTCAACAATTCTAGGCGTGGTCTTGCAGTCAAGATCTGGAGAGCTTATTGAACAGCTGGCAATACATTTGTTTGACGAAGGGTCGTTAATAGGGTTCAGGTCTTACATTGTCCTCAACCGTTTGTTTCACCAGTGGTAATAATTGCCACAATTCTAGAAAAATTGCAGTGCCAAGGTAGCAAACCTTGTTCCGATTTAACGGGTCTATTACTACGTGTAGTGAAGATCTCTGAGCACTCTGGGATGGCTATCTTCGGATCCTCGAGAACAGACAGCAGGTTGACAAACAGCAACCACAGCCATGTATGAACCCGACCCGTTCTATGATTGTTGCGAGCTGATAAGGGTTAGGGTTGCATGACATGTGAAAATGGGTCATTTGCGCAAATGTTATGAATAAACTATATTTTTCTAGAGGACATTTGGATGCTGGCAAAGCTGCTCTTCGTGAAGAGTTATCGTTGTCAGATCTGAAACTGACACCCGTGCCTCGTCCGCCTTCACTAACTGGAATTGACATCGATTCAGATGAAGAGAACATGCCGATACTTATCAAAATGGAGGTGGCTTTTGAAGTTTTCCCTTTTTATTGATACATGAATAAGAAGTCTATGGCACATTTTTTGAAACACTCATGAAGCGCATTAGTCTAATCGTTTTTATTTGCTTGTCAATTTTCGATGTATTCGTAGAGGATTCCTTCATTTAAGGTAGTAGTGGATAATTTACTTGTTAAAAATCTAAGCTGAAAAACGATTTTCAGCCGGGGTAGTTCGAAGGTTTTAATTTGCTCACACCTTACAACACAGCAGTGCTTTGTTCACAGTTCAGTGAGAGGGAGATGTACAGTCGATATTTGCTTTAGCACGCATGTTTTTCGCATGAATTAGAATTTTATCGTTGTAGTTAAGTTTTGGGTTAGGTTGAAGTCATTTAACACATAGACAATGTTGCAGTATACCTGATGCCCCATGCGATGGGCATTATCTCTAAATGGGTTATTCCCTTTTTGAAGGTTTATTTTAACCAACAGAGATGTGGTGGGCGCCACCCATATAGCCTACATTTTGCACTCAGAAACACTTAAAAACCCTTTTTTGAGCGAGTTCATTAACCAGAAATTTGACTACCAATTGGCTTCTATTTTACTTTTAATAGCTGCGATTATCGGATGGAATATGCATGTATAGAAATATCGATGTAGATCGATGCAACATAGGTTTCATAATGGTTTGAAATGCTGTTAGCAATGTGATGGATTATAGTAACATATTGAGAGTAGTAGCATAGATACCATTCAAACCTATAGAGCGACAGGACAAGGTCTCCTATAATCCTGTCATGTTCACAACTAGCAGAAGCATCTAAGATGACAAGTAATTTTATTACAATTTATGCGCATGAGAAGTGCTGCATTAATAGCTACACCTTCTTGCGAGTTTGACTGTATGACTGTTAAAAGTTAAGGACTGGTAACATATGGTACAAATGTGTTTGTTGGGAATAACTTAAGATCTGTTTCTAGTCATCAGAAGTGGATGAAACTACTGCCGCGATGTCGATGATGAGACTTGGTCCACGTCCGTCACGCGTTCACCTAAAACATCGTCGCAATGCGGATTCATATCTCCTCAGTGAAATCTAGGAAGTGAATGGCTCTGTGATCTTGACGCTTGCTACTATTCTTTCGAAATGGTTTCCAGTTGGCCTCAAGAGCTAAAATAAGGTGAATTTCCGGTACTTTTTTGTGTATTTTCCCACTATTTTTCGAATCCTGTGTGGTTATGAGAAAGCTGGGGCCTGTTATCTAACTTTACCAATGTTTACGACTTGGGTGTGCTCTACTTTCTGTCCTTCATCAGATTTGCTATCAGCTTTTCATCAAGATAAGTCCTTTGCGTTGATTGTCACTATTGTGGATTAGTAGGGGAAAAGTTGTATCTTTGTTGATCTCTGTTGTATTTGTCACAGTCCCTTAATAAATAAGGTATTACTTGTAAGCCGGGTGCATTTAAAGAAAGGCCTTTAAAAATACTGGTAGTTTTGATTGTATGTTCTACTTTTATATGTTTTGGTTTGTTAAACTGACAAATACGTCTTACGATGGCATATGGCAAGTATGACTCTGTTTTGTTCATTTCTGTTGATTGTGTCTAAACAAGGTGTTGGATTCCATCGTCCATCTGAAGATGTTACATTAGCTTAAATTTGATTAAAGGTTAAATTCCTTTGTGTTTTTTTCTTTATCTTATCACGGGTTGCGAAAAGCCCATGTATACTTTTCCGTCATTTCGCCTGTAGTGATACTGCACTTTTCCTTCCTTCCTATCTACGGACATTTTGACATTTTTAAAGTTTCAAAGTGTAACAATTCCCGAATTAAGTACGATACGGTGCCTCTCCAGCGTCTAAAGCTGTTACACCTCTGTTCGAAAGGTTCTAATGAATCCTGGAAAAGCAAATGTAGACTTTTGTCTAAGGATTTTGTTGCTTTATTCCAAATTTAAATTGTTGAACTATTGAACTAAAAAACTCATCCTATCATAGCATCTTGTTGTTGCCTTTTGTTAGTGCTTATTTTGAGATTAGTACTTTCATTAGTATTTCAAAAACCGACTTTCTTCTAACTTTGGCGTGACCAGTCAAAATGTTTTTGTTTTCACTGGTAAGCCATTACGAGGTCGATTTTCAAAAAACTGGGAAAGCGAACAAGGAACGACTGTGGATAATCGGCTGGGTGATCCGAGCTCTGGAAAAAGCGAAGGCGCCGGAACGTTAGCCGTTGAAAGTTTTTTTTAGTTATCCACGTACCGACTTATCAATGAAGAAACTACTGTTATAACTTTCTTTTAGAATAGGTTTTTTTTTGTAAAAAGGGTGTCGCATTAGATCCACAGATTAGGAGCTGTTTATATCTCACTTGTCATTTTGTTGCTCTATTTAACATTCTGTATTACTACTTAGGTAAGTTTTTTTTTCATTGTGTACTTATGGTTAGGGTTTCATAGGGCTGAACTTTAGTCTAGAGTTCTTTCCGAAGTTTATATTTCAAAGATATAAGTAAGAGTACGTTTGACGATTGGATTTCTGTACATGAATGATACTAGAATTCTGGGTTAAGAACTGATTCATTCTTATGGTATGGCTTCTTCGATAATGTCTTTAGTTTAGGCGTTTTATCCATAAGATACCTGATCTGATAAGATCTGGTAAGATACATTACGGTGTTGTAAAGTATGGATACAAAGCTATAGGCTTTTTGTGTGGTTAAGGTTGGTTTGTTTATAATGGGCTTTGTAAAGTTTAGGGTTGAAGTTCGTGAGCGCTGGAACGACGTGATTTCCTTAATAGTTAAAGGTAAATTACTTTTTAAGGGCGTATGAGTAAGAATGGTTGTCTGAATCATTTTTTAATCAATGTTCTTTGTGACGGCGATGTTATTCTTCCGACAGGATCGTTTCTTCCTCTTAACCAGGAACCGGGCGATACTTACGCTTCAATAATTATGAGTTGAAGTTTCCGTTCATAAGGGACCACTTGATCGATACTACTTGAGTGATAAGATCGCCTTTGTGAAAGAAAAAAACTGCAAGTAATAGTCACAATTTTAGCTTATTACTTACTGCCTACTCTTTTTAACGGCAGGGTATATATTGCGAAATATAACTTTAATGGTACTGAGATATTTACAAAATTCCGGACCGCAGGTGTCTGCAGTGGGGAACGAACGCGCTATTGTCCTTCCCAGGGAGTAGAGCGTTCACCACCACAACATGCGAGTTCTTCGTTTCGCCTGTCTCTCAGCTAGTTCAATCGATCTTTTGCCATCAGCAATCACCTATCAGTGGGATTGATCTGGGGAGCCCAAGCTCAGTAGACAGTAAATAATAAGTTGAAATTGTGGTTATAACTGCAGCCTCAGTTTAACTGGATTCGTTGCCGATTTGGGTTCCCCAGATCAATCCCACTGACGGGTGATTGCTGATGGCAAAAGATCGATTGAACTAGCTGAAAAACAGGCGAAACGAAGGACCCGCATGATGTGGTGGTGAACGCGTTACTCCCTGGAAGGGACAATAGCGCGTTCGTTCCCCACCGCAGACACCTGCGGTCCGGAGTTTTGCAAATATCTCAGCATCATTAAAATACAAATAGTAGTGTTTGTTTACCATGGGCGAATTCAAGCAGCTCTACACGTTTCGCATGTGATTGCAATGCGATTCAATCGATAGACGTGTTGTAATCTTAGATGGCAAAATGTGGTTTGTCACGTATTCCTACTTGATAGGGTTCTGTATCAACGTTATGTTTAATTTTTATAAGTATAATCGATAACGGGTCGTTACTTGTATCTTGATGTTGCAATCACCATTGATCGATCCGTATCGTTCTATTTGTTTACCTAATTCCTCTGGATTTAAACCGCATTTAACCGATTGGTCGTTCATTTTATGAACACTTACGTTCTAGCGTAAGGAGACGTTTACGTTGTTGACGGTGTGAAGTCTTTCATCGAACAGCGTAGACACGAGGTTGGTGTTACGATGGTTCTTCCACATTCGGAACAATCTTTGAAATAAGCTCTTTCAGCAAGGGTTTTTCTTTTGTAACTTATTCAGTTTGTACTTCGGTAATGTCATTGGATGCAAGTAGTCGTCGTCTCATGAAAGAGCTCCAGCAACTGTCAACAGAACCGCCGACCGGTATCGTCGTTAATAAGGACACCGCTAGTGCAGACCTAAAGTGAGTTTCTAACTATGGTTTCAAGTAAAAATGAGTAAGCCCAATTGCCGATAGCCCTATTATTTCACTTTATTGATTCCAATGTGTACCTCGTTCATTAGTGAGCTCAAATGCCAGGCTTTCCGCAGCAGTCTCCATTGAAAATCGTAGTCTTCATCGATGAGGTGCAAATACAGTACAAGTTGCGAGCATTCAGAAATCCTTTTGCTCTTTTGGTTTAGAAAATGAATTTGGCGAGGGATTGAGGGGCTCTCTTTATTCGTGATATGTTGGGAAGTTGCTACAATACAGGAGTTTCCATATTAGGTCCCAATAAAATTTTATGAGACAGCCCATGGGATAACGCGTAATCAGGTCGTTCTGTGCAGTATTTGTTATATGACCTCGTACAGGTTACTCTGCTCACCAAATAGGGTCTCTATTTCTCCTTGTTAACAATAATCAATGGTACGTAACTGCTACAAATAGCATGGAATCACTGCTTGACCGTTGTACTGGTGCAACAAAGACATCTTAGTACACCCGTCTTTCCTACTGTGACCATCGAATACATCAGTTCCCTCCTCACTAGCGCCAACTTATGGCGGAACTACTGAACTGGTCTGAAAGCTGTCGTTTTTTCCTATTTATGAAATGTATGGAACAATCTACTTGGCCTTCATCTAGTATAACATCCATGCTGGGAAAGTTATAGTTTGAATGTAACTAGCGCCAGTCTTTAGCGAGACAAATGAATTATTCAGAAAATCGTTGTTTTTTTTAAATTATTAGGTGTACGAATCAGTTCACTGGGTTTACGTCTGGTTGAACGTTCCTGTTGAGGAGGTGGTTATTTTCTAAATATCTCAAATTAGTGAAGATCTTCATTATCCATCCAAGCAAACGGAAACTTTCATAGAGTAGCTGCATGGAAAAGCTCGATGTTTTTCCTTGGACAGCTTTTTTAAATAATTATTTCCTTACTTCCTTCCAACTATTTGCCTACACATTTTGGCTGTTAGGTGTTCCTGGGTGTCGGGCTGCGATTTACAGCAGAAGAATTCGTCCACAGCAGGGCCTCTCAAGCCGAGGAGAAGAAGTCCTGCGTTTCCATCAGGAAGCCTAGCTAAGAGAAAACCAGTCCTATCCACCACCGTTCTGGTACCAAACTACTAGCACGGTGACAAATCACTCTCTGATCTACAAGGGCTGCGACTGGCCGTGGTAGTGACGACCTGGGGCAGATTTTGGCTAGGTTGACCTCGAGATTCCTGTGAACCACTATGCCTAAACCAACAAAAGAACGAGAAAGTGGAACTTATGCTGAGGTCCGCACAGTCAGTGATGACGAGCCATCGAAGTATTTGCTTACTTTGTCGGTTGGATTTGGAATCATTAATTCGTTTAGACAGTGGCGGGTGGATGTTATTGGAGCTGCGGGAACATTGTACGAAGGTGAAAAATTCTCTCTTCAGTTCCGGTTCACTCACCAATATCCATTCAACTCGCCCGAAGTACGCAATTTAAATTTTTTATGGATTATTATTTTTTAAAATGTGTTGTAAATTTATTTCTAGGTAATGTTTGTGGGTGATAATATACCTGTACACCCACATGTCTACTCAAATGGTCATATTTGTTTATCGATTTTATCCGAAGATTGGACACCAGCTTTGAGTGTGCAAGCAGTTTGTCTTTCTATTCTTTCCATGTTATCGTCTGCCAGAGAGAAGGTAGAGCATTTCTTGAATTTAACAAATTCGATGCATAATGCGGAAGACATAGAAATAACGAATAACAATTTATGTAAGGTAATCTTCCTGATATCCTATCCAACGGTTTACCGCCTCATCGTGGCTGGGAGGTGTTCTGACTATCGGCTGGTATTTACAGCGGGGAGATGCATCCTCTCAGCAGGGCCACCCAAGCTGAGGAGTCCGATGTTTCCATCAGGAAACCCAGCTTAGAGTAAGCCAATATAAGGATCCCCCACCGTCCTGGTATCAAACTAGTTGCATGGTGGTAAATCTCATTCTGATCCACAAAGGCGGCGACTGCCTGGGGTAGTGACGATCTAGAGCAAATTTGGCTACGCCGATCTTGGGGCTCGGGGAAGCCACAATAGCTAAACCAGTAAAACCCCGAAAGAATGGGATTTATACTGGGACCAGCGCAACCAGCGAAGACGGGTTATCCAAGTACGTAATCTTTGTGATATATAAAATCATTCTTTTTTCAGAAACGACCACCGGATAACGCACTCTATGTTCGTACTTGTAATAAAAATCCTAGCAAGACGCGGTGGTGGTTCCATGGTGAGCTTTCGTTCGAATTCTTACCGTTTTTTTTATGACAAAACGCAAAAATATTTTTTCTGTCTTTAATTCTTGGTCATAATGTGTTTGACTTTCAGATGATACCGTTTGACAGTCTGGGTATGTGATACTGTTGGCAAAATGTCACTCTTTTTGAAGAATGTAGTCGTCTGAGTGTATTTTATGATGTAAATATTTTCGTTGCATAGTTGGTTAATCTTGACTTCATCTCTGTCTCTTGTTGGTAGTTGCGTGTTTTACTGTAGTATCTTACTGTGCGTTCTTCCAGGTGTGTATGATTGTCAGACTTTGTTCAACACTGCCACCATCTTTATCACTATGTCTCAAAGTCAATTGGGTTTTTCTTCGCGATTTATGTACACATTTCCATCTCGCAGTTTTTATTCGCTTCAAACCACGTGTTTACTAGAACTAACTCACATTACGACCGACACATATATGCTCGGATTGTTAAGCCTACTAGTCTTAGACTGCATCTAATCAATCGCTATTTTTGATATTAATTGCAGTTTCTGGTGATCTCCATTTCTCCTTGTCGCTTGCCAGAGTTACTTTGTGAGCTCCGTTTGTTCGAGGGTTATGAGGTGTAGCTGAGTTTTTGATTGGAGTCCTTTATTTTTTTACTGCTTTTAGTGACTAGGCGTATGCCGTGTGGGCGGGACTATCATGACTAATGTAGATTGCTCCTCAATGGTTTTGAGCGGGGTGATTAACCATCTTCTTAGCACCAAACCCTTGCCACGACAGTGCGATAATCAAGGGCTATGTATGTATGATCTTAACCCAACTAGTATGATTTTTCATTCGGTCTGGTGTCACTTGAAATCTTGGTACTCGTGTTCCAGTTAGACCGATTTCTATTCCAAAGCTCAGTGTATACGTTGCTCACTTATGTGACTCAGTCAACTTTTCAACGCTACACCACTCCTTTTTTGCGGCTGTTTTCTTCTTTGATTATGGGTAAAGGCTTATTCTTTTTCCATGACTTTATATATCTAAGATGTTCTAAGTATGATATTGATTGATGTCGATATGAATGCCTTATGGAGCACATGGTTTCCGTTCATGAGCACTTGTAGTGATTTGCTTTGAAAAAGTTGTTGTGTTAGGACAGACGTTGTATCGTTGTATACACTACATATTCTTTATGTTTTCCATAATTGATTGAATTCTTTGAAACTTGTTCATTTTATGAACACACTGAACCGCCGCACCCATAGAACATGTCCTGTGGTCGCGACGGTTCGGTTTGTTTATCGACTGCGCATTTATGAGTGTTATGAAAGGTTATATAACCATTTGGAGACCACACCTAATTTCCGGCTCTTATGGAAATGCCGCTTAAACGGTGCGTGTAGCGCAGTGGTCAGAGGTGCCCTGCAACACACACATGGAGTCGATCACTGTGCCCATGGCCCAGTAAGCCTTCCATCCCTACAGGGTCGGCAAATTGGTGCCAGACTTGTCTGGGAGGATAGCAGCACTGGTTCGATACATCAGTGGCCCACCGCGAGTCTGTGGAGTCTGCTTGGGTATTTTCATCCTGCATGTTCTATACGGTAACTACATCTCATTATAGTGGTTGAAAATTAAATAGCAATCGATTAGCAATCAAATTACGGGTTTATGAGATCGTTAGAGGGAGGGTTCTTTGTACACTTCTAAGTGCAGAATAGAGTCTTTCAGGATCATTGTCCGACACGACATCAGTGTTTGACAAGTTATCCACGAATTACAATAAATATGATAGAAAAGCTCTGTACGGCATAAGAAGAAGAAAAGCACATTGAAATCAACGCGTGTGGTCGCTAACGAACTAAAACTTCCTGGTAAGCACGAAAATATGGAAACGCTGGGTACAGTGGGCTTCAATAAGAGTTAGACGTATTATTGAGTTACTGGAAGTAACAATTTCATTGGAAAGTATGCATTGATGAAGAAATTGTTTATAATGCTAGAAATAGATGAGTATGATGAAGTTCTCAAGATCAAGACTTGTATCCAAGAAGTGTAACATAGGGTTCGGCGGTTTCTATTGCTTCATTCGTTTCTGTTTACAAACGAAGACTAGATTTCTACCGATCACAGTGTTGATGAATAGCTCTTGATGAAATTACACGGTTCTTAGTACATCTTTGTGACTAGTAATTCTCTTGACTTTGACTTCTTTAAGGCCCTTGAAGGGTTATAGTAATATGCGCAGTCAATTCGGTCCAAGATTTCCATAACAAGGACAGAAAAAGACCTAGAAGCACCTATGCGTACAAGTATCTGGGATAAGAAATATGCATGTATTCAGTTGAAATGTTAGCCTAAGATAAGGGAAAGTTACGAGTAATTGTAAAGCACTGGTCACTTCTGAGTTTATTCAGAATGATTAGGGAGCTATGAGTTCAACTGTTTTTGACTCATGTGCTAAAGCCATTATTTTGACCTCAGAATTTGCTCTATGCTTTAATTTTTCATCTAAGTGTTCATCTATACGAACACTGAATAAATAGTCGACCCGCTTCGCCAGTGAGCTGTTACTCCAAAAACTCTTAGAGGAGATCAGGTATACTGTATTCGAAATGATGCAGTCCCATGAGTCATCAAGAACATAGTGAACCATTAACTGTGATTGATTTAAATTCAGTCTTGGTTTTAGGCAGAATCATTATGTCGACGGATTGCGAAAACTTTCAAATCGTTTGTAGGTGTACTTTTGGACGAATTGACGTCATTGAGTGCTAAGAGAAATCGGTGGTTCAATAGTTCAAACACTGCTTAAAAACAGTACTCTCTTTCCTGGAAATGAATTACAGGCAAATTGGTGTTTCGGTACAAGTTGTTCCTTTCAACGCTTGAGAATCAATATCTGAACCCAAGTGGGTGCCGTATCTATCTGAACTGGATCACTCTTCACGTGTGTTATGAATTGAGGTCAACTCATGAAATCTGATGTGTTCAAGTGTTTCGTTGCACTTGTGTGTGAATCCATGTTGTACTATGTTGATCGATTCCTTCCTTTCTGTTATTCGTATCCTCTCTTCCTGTGTACACTATGGCGGCTGCTGGGAACGTGTTTCTCTCTTCATGTCTGAATGATAACGAAGAATAATATGTTTCGATCATTCGATATTTGGTAGGTCTTTGTAACGTAGTCGTTTTAGAAGTGTTTACCTGAACGTCCAGTAGTAGAAGTAAAGTTTTCTTCAGTTTCTCTCCTGTGTGCTCTTACTTCCTAATTCAATAACTCAAAACACTAATTTATCTACTTTCGGCTAGAATTGGCGAAAAAGCAGTAATCTGTAGACCCACGGCAGATCGGTGATTGAAGAATTGGAAGTGGGGATTTTGTTGCATTGCAGAGATAAAGTAGATGATAAGAATTGTTGCCAACATAAATTTTGCGATTCAACCCATCTAATCCCCTTCATTTTCCGTTACGGTGATGAAAGTATTCAGGCCATTGGATTGCATGTGAGTACGTGTTCCCTTGTTTACACGTGGTGCAGTGGTTAGAGGCGCCTTGCAGTACCCACGTGTTCGATCCCGTGCTCTAGGCTCATAGAGTTCCCCGTCTCTCCTGTGTTTGCAGATTTTTCCCAGATCTGTCTAGAAGCAGCGCTAACTCGATACATTGGTAGGCCATTGGAAGTCATTGCATTGGCCATTTCATCACCACTAAGAATGCTCGATGAAGTCGAATCCACAGCGCATCCCTCAAGGATTGATCAACGCCAAGTGTTTTAACTTTTATCCCTATGATCTCCTACAGTCTCTGAAGGAAAGGAGATCCGCCAAAAAGTTAACAACATGAAAGTTTTGAAAATATAAGCATTAATAGGAATAAAAAAGGATAAAGCTCTCGGCAATGATCAATCCTTAGGGGATTCGCCATGCATTCGACTTCATTAAGTATTGTCGGAGGTGACTGAATGCAAATCTGGCCTTTACAATGACTCGCACTGGCCTACCGATGTATCGAGCCAGTGCTGCTATCCTCCCAGACAAGTCCGGTACCAATTCGCCGACCCCGGAGGGATCGAAGGCTTTGTAGGCCATGGGCGCTGGGATCGATTCCACGTGTGTGTCGCAGTGGCTCCTCCAACCACTGCGCCAAATATATACAAATATAAGCAAATAATATATAATATAAGCATTGCATTCACATAATTGAATTACGGGATTGGCGGGGTTGTGATTCAGATGCGGTCTTTAGAATAAACCGCAGGTTGCATACAGACTGAGGATTGAACCATTTCGATTTTTCGTTGTCTAAACCTTATCTTTTTCTGAAACGTTCTTTAAGGTTCAAGTTTTTGTGAAGTTTCGACTCGTTTAAAATTGGGAAGCAAATTAATATTTTTATGATTTCCAGCGCTAGCGAAGAAACCGATAATACCAATAGTACACTAGTGGGTACCACTGTACTCTGCTAGACCTAACCCTGTTTGTTTTTTTTTTCGGTTGTACGTCTCTCGGCAAGAAAAATTGCAAGGGAAACGTTGTATGGATTTCAAAATATCAGAACTTTATTATTTTAAAACAAGAGGGCCTACATATTGTAGTCAAAAATATGTAGACTTTAATGATTTTTTATCTTGTTTAATAAAATCAAAACGATGGTGAAATATTAGCAAAACTCAGACCCCAAGTCGGATTCAAACCCGCGAGACTACTCTTTCCCAGGTACCACTGCACCATTGAGGCCTTCGCTTTGCCTTTCTCTCAACCAGCCTTTTACTCTAACGTGCCATCAGCGACTCATTTAATGAGGTTGCATATGAGAAAGCTCTGCCTCTTTAAAATTGCTTGGTGGAATTGTTTTCGATCACGTGCGTATTTAAATGATTTCGCTGTTCTTTATATGTTGACCTGTAGTTCGTCTTGCAGGTATGACGAAGGTGGCTGTAATCGGTGAAGGTGTTGTTGGTGTTTCAACAGCTTTGGCGATTAAGAAAAGGTTACCGAATGTTGAGGTAAGCGTATGGAAGAATAACAAGTGCTTGTAAAGTTGAAAGTGACATTCGTCGTGGCAAAAATAACAGATTATATGCCTATGTATCGAACAGCGCTGCATAGAAGGAACTTTGTTCCATAAATGGGACATTCCAGCCGAGAAGATGATGGAAATCTCCATCCGGAAGCTTAGCCGATTAGAAACTAATGAACACAGTGAAGACTTTGGCTACTGTTCCTTCATGGCGCTAGGGCTATTCTGAGCGTCAAACTGCGTGTACGGTAAGCGATTCATCACTAGATGGTAGCATCACCAAAGCTGTGAAGTGAAATTCGTTAGTCTATCTGAAAATCTAGCCAAGAGTAGACTGTTGCTAAAAATCATCGTGGTCCTGGTGAAAACATGGTTGCAAGGTGGTAAACCTTTCTCCGTTCCATGCTGACCGTTGGAAGCTTGTGTTATTGCGCTGGGAAACCCCTGGCACTGGTTTCGCGGGAATTTAAGGAAAAATTTAAGCTTACCAGTGACATGCTACTTACACTATGAATGCAGCAGTTCTAAGTGAAGGTTAAATCAATTGTGTGAAAAAGTGCTAGATATTTGCAGAAGGAATTATCGGTTGTACTTGCATTAGATGTCGGAAAAGATGTAACAATATTTAAGATGTTTATGCGATTATATTCATACCAGTTAGTTTCAGTACTACGTATAATCAATTTAGATGACTGTGTTTCATGATAGACCGTTCGAAAAAACGTGTTCAGCGGTGCCAGCGGGGTTATTTCGTTTCGACAACGTGGAGGATAGGTACGTTATTGACTTTGCTGATCAGTGCGCTTACTGTAATTATTGTTATGCTCTCGTTCTTTAAGTACTTATCTTATTGTTTTACATTTTATCGGTTTTCAAAACCCATTTGGTTCATGGGAAATGTTGCCGTTCATTCTGCATTTCGGGTTAACCTGATGAGTCGATGGCTTCCGCGTAACAGTGCACGATGAGAATTAATCATTGACAAATCTTTTGAAGCATTGTCAGCTTTTATTTTTAAATGAACGTTATGATATAAACTTGGCATATATACCACGTGACTTTTGAGTTTGGCGAGGACATCCGTTTCGAGCAGTACATGCCTATACGAACTTTTTTTCTCATTTTGGACCAACCGATTTTCTTTGTTGCTATAAAAACACAACACTTCTTCCATTTGGTTCATTGTTTCACATCTATGATTCTGGAAGGCCTTCGAATTTTCATGTGGATTTTACTAATGCCTGAGAGCTTTGTCTTTTTCATAGATGTCGTTGCCTTTGTTCAATGCTGGTCGAGTTGATTCTCGCTATAATCCTGGGCCGAAGGTGCTAGCTCGCTCTCAAATCTTTAGCATAGGCAATCTCCAACCTTTATGAATTGAAAACCAGCTAATTCAAGACGAGTCTGGTACCAGTTTTTCGATGGTGGAAGGATGGGAAACTTGGTGTGCCCGTGGCAAGTTCGAACCAGCTTTTTGTGCTGAATGGTATCACTTCAAGCATTACCTGCTGTAACATTAGGAGTTCTCAAACATAAACCATTGTTTGGTTGAAGACATGGCAATTCCTTGCTTGAATCGTTTTGAGTGGTTTTAACGACGGAATCTGGCAATTTTACGGTGTCCTTATACGAGTTGTTCAGTTGACGATTGGAATGCGAATATTTTTTGTGATTTTATCCCCCTATGCGATAAGAGCGCTTGTGGTGCAGCGGTCGGAGGCGCCCTGCAAACGCACACGTGGAATTGATATCCGCGCCCATGACCCACCAAGCCTTCCGTCCCTCCGGAGTCGGCAAATTGGTACCAGACTTGTCTGGGAGGATAGCGGCCCTGGCTCGATTCTTCGGTAGGCCACTGCAAGTTATTGTAATGGCCAGATATGAATTCAATCACCTCGAAACGATCCTTAATGAAGTTGAATGCATGGCGCATCCCTTAGGGATTATTCAACGCCGGGAGCTTTACCCGTTTTTATCCTTAATGCGATAACCATCTAGATCAGTTTCTTATATTCCATCAGCTTACGCCCAGTTTAGCATTCGTAGTGTAGTTGAGTTTCCAATTGTTGGGCGTTGATACAATGTGCCTTCACAAATGTCTGGTTGATTTCGTATGCTGATAGTTATAATCACAATCTTAACCTTTTTGTTTACTGCCTATTCTTTTTAATGGCAGGGTAGGTTGCAAAATATAACTTTCATAATGCTGAAATATTTGCAAAACTCCGGACCGCAGGTGTTTGAGGTGGGGAGCGAACGCGCTATTATCGTTTCTGGGGAGTAACGCGTTTACCACCACACCATGCAGGTCCTGCAGGTCGTTTCGCCTGTCTCTCAGCTAGCTCTATTAGTTATGTAGTTATACTGTATCTTGTAATTGACTTGTGGTGAGAGTCCGTCTGTAGACGGTTTTGGTCCATGCTTTTGTTCCTTAGCTTGATGTTAAAGCGAATTTCAAGTGGCTTGAACAGATATTGATATTGTCGAGGCGTCAATACTTACTTGATACTTTAATGGCCCGCCCTCATTGGTTGTGCGGGCCCTAGCATAATCTCCGCTTTTCGGAGATTTGTTGGTCAAGCCATTATGGTTCCCTGGAATCCCGTGGTCACCCTGGCCGAAGTCTGCCTCAGGTCTTCACCGCCACAGGCAGTCACAGCCTTTATGGATCAGAGGAAGATTCCCGAGCTCCTTAACCAACACGAAGGAGCAATAGGCATGTGATATATGTCTATTGGGTTATTTAACCACATGAAACTTTGATACCAGGACGGTAGTGGATCCTGGTATTGGTTTGCTATTAGCTAGGCTTCCTGATGGTAACGCCGGACTCCTTCTCGGCTTGGGAGCCCCTGCTGAGGGGATGAATCTCCTCGCTGTCAATACCAGCCGATACCCAGGTACACCTCCTAGCCACGATGAGGGTGTAAACCGTTGGGAGGCGAGTTGTCAATATGAAGATTAAATATGGTGCACTTGTCTTTAGAGAAGTATCAATGATTTCAATCGACGAATTCTTCTTTTACACGGTGACGTAGATGTCGGCTTGAACTTTGTTGATTATTTTTTCTTCTATTTTTGTTAGACGCTCCTGTTTTCATCTTCTTTGTTATTCTTGCTGTACCATTGTGTTTCCGACTAGATGTGTTTCATTTACAGATCGGATGCAAAAGCAACATTTGACTGGTACTCTGAACTATGTCGCCATCTGCCGGGATCATTAACAGGTGTTAAGCTGCTTTCTGGCCACATTCAGTCCGATTCGAAGGAAGCTCTCGCGGCTCAGGTTTTCATTTCAAGTGTTCCATTTTCTAACGAGTGTTATCAGATACAATTGGTACAGTAATTTACTGTTAAGTACTTTATACCTGAGGTAGATTCCAATGATAAAAGATGAAGCCTTCCCGGGAAGACTGCTATAAGAACACTTTTTCACTGTTAAATATTTTATAATACGTTATCACTCTAGAATTGCTATACTTTAGGAACGTGCCTATGGTGATATCGTTTGCAATTTTCGTTATCTAAGCGATCAGGAGCGAGAAATCCTATTCTGTGATCCTTCTAAGTAGGTAACAACGGACATTTTTACTTGTATCTTTCTAGTCGTAGAAAGACTTCGGTGATTTGACTTAAGTTTTCGTATCTTTGTGAAGCGCGCAGGATATTGCCGTACCACTATATCGTTTCAACCGCAGTTCCCAGGGGGTCAAACATCACTTCCAAACTTTCCCATCGAAAGCTCATAGTTGATACCAGAGTTGTCTTCGAACTATAGAAGCACACCATGTTGTCCACTTGCCGAAAATCGAAAGTAACGACAGGGCGAAATCCGAATTGACATTGATCTCGGCCTATATATAAGTGCAATACACAAATTTTCGTGTATAGCGTTGTCGCTGATAAATATCGTGAACCATATACTCTTATTGTTAGCATTCACTCGTAACAGATTGGAATTGATTCCTGTTGGGCATCATTTTATGGAGCGTAAATCCTATTTTGCCCTTTACGGATATGTTCTACCTTATACTTATCAAAATCTTTAAGCTGGTATCCACTGATGATCTTGCGTGTACCAACCACTCAACGTTTAAGGTTAGACCAATCATCAGTGGTGTAGAAGTGGCCATGGATAGAATAACGTGGTTTGTAAGCTTAGTATTCGTCCAGTTGCGGGAACGCATTCCGACTCATCTTACGAACACGCAGGTATTTCTGGATCGTGTCCATGTGTCACAAGTCCTAACAACGCTTACGTGATGGAGTCCTATGAGGTTACCGCCGCTTTTACAATTGTGACAAATTACTCTACAATGCAAGCCATCCCGAGCTCCTTAAGCAACACGAAGGAGCAATAGACATGTATGGCGCCTCGAGTCAGCAGGTTATGACCCTCCTAAAGCAGTGCCTAAAATGCTCAGTCTTTAAATGGTCGGGGAAGTATTTCGCACAAATGAGGGGTTGGCAATAGGGCATCGGCTAGCACCAAGTCTTGCCATTCACTGACTATTTGTTTCTAAAATAGAAGCTCCAGTAGTCGTTCTTTGACTATCACTAATTTAGATATATAGGCAATTTTTTGTGATATCCACAGCACGAGAGGGATGGAAAAATGTTTTGATTTCTTGACTAACACTCAGAGTACATAAAATAAACAAAATAAAAGTAAAAAGTAAAATGAAAAACTGAAACGAAATTAGCTTCCGCCCAAATTAACCTATCCAAAAACGGCAACTTCACTAAATGGTATCAAAGGCCATGTGGAAAAACATCATACTGATTCACTTCCTCCCCTCCCGTCGTTCTTACGCAAGATAGGAGCTTGTGAGGAACACATTTCGAGAAACCATCAGTGATTGCATAGGAAGAGAGCCGAAGGAAGAATTCCTGAAATCAGTGGTTACGAACGGCTGTTGCTTGGAATGGGTTTAAAGGAAAAATGAAGCCTTCAAGCTGCAAGTCTAACGAAAAAAATCGCGTTTAACTTACTCTTTGTCTCCGACCAAGTAAACACAGATATAGCACGATGCTCAAAAATTGCCAGTCTAGAGGATTCGGTAACATTGATTGAAATGTCAACGAACACTCAAAATCGTCAGCTATTTCCTAACCGTTTGTATGATCGTTTGTGTACTTACTTACTGGATTTCTCCTTTTTCCGGAGTTTTTCTGGTTTAGCCATTGTGTTTTCCTGGAGTCTCGAGGTCGGCCAAAGCAGTCTGCCCCAGGTCAACATTACCATAGGCAGTCACCGCCCTTGTGGATCGGAGGATTTCCCACCATGCAAGTAGTTAGTTCAAGTAGTTCAACACCAGGACGGTGATGGATCCCGGTTTTGGTTTACTATTAGCTGGGCTTAATGATGGAAATACCGGACTTCTTCTCAGCTTGGGAGGCCCTGTTGGGGAGGTGATACCCTCCGCTGCACATTGCAGCCTGACGTCCAGGAACACCTCCTGGCTACGACGAGGCGGTAAACCGTTGAGGGGATCGTTTGTATGTAATATAAAATTGCACAATTATCCTTAATAGTAGGTACGCAACTGCATGAGTTCGGGTTGAGTGTGCCTGATTTCTTGTAAAGCATACGAAGATGAATACGCCGAAACGGGTTATCCACTTTGGAAATGTGTAGAACGGCACCTAGTTAGGAAACCTAAAGCCAAACAAAACATTTCACTAATCGCATATAGGGCATAGAAATGTAACGGAGAACTGTTTGAACCAAGACTCACTATCCTCGCGCAGAAATCTAAAACGCAAGAGCGTAGAACTCTTGAAGCATTTTGGACGAATTCCGGTTAAAAATGAACCGCAAAGAGTGAATAAATAGTGGATTCTCAACTTCATGTCTACTCATCAAGAATGCTGTGGATTATTCATCAATGCCGAGGTCAGTTCAATAGAAAGTCGATCCTGGGGAGTGGTCTTCTACAGTACGCGCATGATCACTGCTACAAGTGCACCCGGTAAAACCAGTCAACTCTCTCACCAGTTAAATCGATGGAGGTTTTTGGTAGACGGTTGCCAGACAGATAAAAGTGGGAAAAGTTTTCTGGGATCCGTAAAATATATGTGAAGATCCGTAGTATAAACATATAGAATAGCAATATGTATGAGTAAGATTTCCAAAGTTTATGATTCGTCTGATAGTTTCAATTTTAAAGAAGTTCAAATTTAATCTCTATTTTTTTTCTCAGACATGCTATTCATTTTTCTTCCTTTGCCGCAGAAGGTAATCGATATGTGCCGTTCATGAAGAAACAGTTACTCAATGCTGGAGTGGTGTTCACTCAGCGAATTCTTCAAAGCGTCAATGAGGTTGCTTTCTATTGTTTTGAAAGGAATTTATATGAAGTTCTTAATTACTTAAGCTTTGATGTACTCCTGGATGAAGATGGGTAACAAGGAAACAAAATCTGCTCGGAAGCCTTCCGAAAAAGTGATTTATTTTTTCTTTATCCGAACTTACTCTATTTTACTCACACATGAGCTGGCTAGTTTTGTATGACGACCACTTAGGTCTATGCCTAGCTGTTCTTTGTGCGCGGTCTGCATTGAAAAGAACGTTTTCTGCGAATTATTAAGTGAAGTAGGTTTACCGAACGGATAGAAGAGTTTTAGTAATGCCGGTCATCACATGTACATTGCTGTTTCGACCTCTATTCTGGCTCACCAAGTCTATTATCCCTTCAGCGTAGTGTTGATGCAGGGTTCGTCTGCGAACAGTTAATTCTCTTAAATCCATGTGAGAACGCTCTAGCCCGACTATCGTAGGTATTCTGGGCGAACCGACTCGACCAGCACTCGACATTTATGACGAAAGGAAACTCGTCAAGCAACGGTGAAACGCACACGTAAGAAGTGAAAAGACCTTCATAGATAATGAGAGGAAACGATTCGAATGCAAGGACTGCTGTGATCCGCAGAGTAGACGTGGAAACCGGGTCGTGTAAAATAAAAGTGTAAAACTGTGTTTTCACAGGATAATGTTTGTTACTTTTTGTTGGATAGGTTATCGATTGGATGTAACAGCTGTAGTAAATAAACTCTTTGTGACAAAATAGACAGTTAGAATTGTCACGCATTGGAGTCAATGCGTGCAGTCGTTTATGGGGTATGGATGTCAAGCCTCCCTAAGCTTATAGACCTTTAGAGAAATCTTTCTTAGTGAAGCAATTATAAAAAAAGATCCTTAAATTGCAGCGGGTCTGATTCTTATTTTTTTCAACGGAATCATAGTTCATTATCCTATTAAATATGATTTCTGTTAGTTAGCAGAAGAAGGCTACGATGTGATTGTTAACAGTGCTGGATTGAATGCGGGGAAATTGGCCGGTGACGACGATGGAGTGTATCCAATTCGAGGCGTCGTCTTTGAAGTATTTTATTTTCATTACTTTCAATTTGAGATATCTAAAATGTGGACGCCCTTAGGCATATTCTGGAACAGAAAGAGAAAACAAAACGTATAGACCATTTATAAGTTTCTTTTCGGGTCTTTATGGAGAGCCAATTTGTACCCCTGAAGGAGTTAAGATTAGGCTGTTTTGGAACTAACCGCCGTTTTGATTTTAGCTACTGATTTATTTCGGATGGGTGTGGGGAATGGGTACTTTTTGATTGTAAGTAGCGGATACATAACAGATACACTTTGACGTTTGGCGGTGATATACAAACTTCTCAAAAAACTCTACCCTTATTTGAGGTGGATGCTCCATGGCACAAACATTTCAACTACCGCGACTTTGAAACGTTTACCATTCCCAAGTTAGTAACGCTGTTCTTTCTTTCTTTTCTTGTTCTTATTCCTTTTTCTCGATTTTATGTATGGGGTCAAAGCACCAGTAGTGCTTTGATATGGGTGAAGGTGTTCCTGGGTGTCGAATTATTATATATCTTGATCGGGATTCCTGTTCATCCACCCAGCGAAATCTCCCAAGTCGAAAAGCAGTTCGACATTCATGCCCGAAGATGCAGGTAAGAATGAACTAATATCAGTAATTAACATAGTCCTAATAACAACCGTCTGTTCAAAGCGGACCCTATCCTAGTGAGGTATTGCCTTCGTGGGCCGAGCAATGGCTTACACCGTGATCCCAGCAGCGCTAAGTTGCACCTTTTGCACGTCAATGTTTATGTATTTCGAGGAAATTTGTCGTGGAGATTGTAACGGCTGATCCATATGGTTTCAAATAAGTTTCTATATTTATTGTTTTCGCTTTATGTGATATATTTCTAACAACTACGCCACACTCACTTCACACATGCCATGCAATACACAGTGGTCGCTGGTTTGATCCTGTCCTTCGGGCTTACCAAGCCTTTCATCCCTTCGGGACCAGCAAACCAGTACCAGATTTGTCTGGGTGGGTAAGAAGACTGACTCTAGGAATCGCTAGGCCATCACAAGTTTGTAGATCACATATGCATTCATTCACTGCTGAGAATGCTTGATGACTTCGATGGCATGTCGCGTCCCTCAGGGATTGATCAACGCCACAATATTTTTCGTTTTGTGTCTTATGACTTCATATGTCGTGCAGTTTCCAGAATATGTTTCATTTAGTTCGTTGTTTTGCTCCTGTCATCTACGGATATGTTCTGATTTTAACGTAGGCTCAACTGCAACTTGAGGATTTCGTATTTATGGGTGTCTGTGAACGCTGGTTGAGCCTGTTTTTCCTTGGAATAGCCTTGCTTGGCCATTTCAGAGTCTCAATTTCAACTTATTATTTGCTGCCTACTCTTTTTTAATGGCAGGGTATATTTCGAAATATAACTTCAATGATGCTGAGATATTTGCAAAACTCCGGACCGCAGGTGTATGCGGTGGAGAACGAACGCGCTATTGTCCTTTCCGGGGAGTAACGCGTTCACCACCACACCATGTGGGTCCTTCGTTTCGCCTGTCTCTCAGCTAGTTCTATTGATCTTTGCCACAGCAATCACCCGTAGTATTTCGCAATATACCCTGTCATTAAAAAAGAATAGGCGGCAAATAATAAGTTGAAATTGTGATTATAACTACAACCTCAACTTAACTGGGTTCGTTGTCGATTCGGGCCCCCAGATCAATCCCGCTAAAAGGTGACTCCTGTGGTAAAGATCAACAGAGCTAGCTTAGAGGCAAATGAAACGAAGGACCCGCATGGTGTGGTGGTGAACGCATTACTCCCCGGAAAGAGCAATACCGCGTTCGTACTCTACCGCATACATCTGCGGTCCGGAGTTTTGCAAATATCTCAGCATCATTGAAGTTACATTTCAAAGTCGTCTTCTGATGGTGTTCACAAACACCCACCAGCCATGATGAAACCGACGGAGCGTGTTCGCGTCAATTTTGATTTGGCTCAGTTCGAACCGAAAATTGTTCGTGTATTAAAAAGTCTGTTAACCACCAAATTAATCATGCGGCCCACATGTCGGTGAAAGTTTATCTCTGTAAAGATTTCTAGAAATGAATGTGTGGTTGTTGGAACTGTTAAACAGTCGAATCGGTATGATACGGAAATTACCGACGAGGATCGACGAGACATTTGGCAGCGCTACGAAAACCTTCAACCAACGATGAAAGTGGGTTAATTTCTGAATTTTGTTAAGGTGCACTCCATCTTAAATTGATAAGGATTCTCTCTTGTTTTCGTATGATTTGTTTTTGGTCTGATTTATAGTTTTTTAATGGGGCGGAAAATCTCTGAAGTATTTTTTCACCTTGATTTGACCATTAACACTTTGATTTTTTTAGAATGTAAAAATCATTGGCGAATGGTGTAATTTACGACCAGCCAGAAATAGTATTCGTGTGGAGGCCATTGAGAAGGCAACGAAATGTGGAAAAACATATACGGTAAGATGGATTTATTTGCCTAAATTTTTTACCGGGCGCGTGTGGCACAGTAGTCGAAGGCGCCGTGCAGTACTAATAGGATCGATTCCCGCGCCAATGAACCGCCAAGTGTTCTATCCCTCTGGGGTTGGCAAATTGGTACCAGAGTTGTCTGGAAGGGTGGCAGCACTGGTTCGATACATCGGTAGGCCACCGCGAGTCATTGTAAAGGCCAGATATGCATTCAACCACTTCCAACGATGCTTAATGAAGTCGAATGCATGGCGCATTCCTCTGCGATTGATCAACGCCGAGAGCTTTATCCTTTTTTTAAATGTTTAACCGCATCAGCTTCTGTATCGACGCGCGGTTGGTCGTGGCTCAAACGTTTAGCCAACACTGAACAAGTTGTTAATGGTTTCCGTCATCTAATTATGGCCTTTGTTCAGCAGATTATGATAAATTTCCATAGAATCTCCGGTTTGTGAATTTCTTTTTATGAGACTTTTGTTTCATGCGTTTTATATAAGTTGCTCCACCTTTTTTTGTAGATAATTCACAATTATGGTCATGGTGGACATGGTTTTACTGTTGGATGGGGTACAGCTCTTCGCGCCGCTGCTCTCTGTGAAAAAGCCCACTGTAGAAATTCGAAATTATAATGTTTATCTTCCTAAGAATCTATCTTATTATCAGGATTGTTCCAGAAGTCATCAAAAACTTTTTATAACTTTCATGAATCCATTCGCATTTGTCTACAGAGTGTACGATAAAGTTTATTTGTGAAGTTGGCACGCTACTGCATCAAGGATTTCTCCTTTTCCACTTTCTCCATTTTTCACTCTGTTCATCGTTTTCTTCCAAGATAGCCACGTTAGATTTAAAGCTCCCTACTCACGTGTTTACCCCAGTTCCCTCTCAACAGTCTGCAATGTAGTTGACACCCAGATAACACCTGAACATATTCAGCTTTGTACATCATCGGGTGTGAAACACTTCAATCACACCATCTGAAAAAATAAGCGGTTCTCACAACATTAAACAGAACGGTTGAAACCTTCAAATATGATGAGCACGTGAGGATCTTTTAGGGCGGTCAGCAGTTTTCTAATATTCATTTAGTAACTAAGAACCTTCATCGAGCGCAGTGCGAATTGAAATCCGTGCACACAATATTTTGAAAGAAACTCGGTTAGTGCCTTCTCATCACCAACAGTTGCTATTTTGCATTGTTGGTAGAAAAAGTAGGGATATTGTGCAGCAAAGAAATTATAGCAACCTCAACTCAATTTTTTTCGCCCCTTAAAAAACTGTTTCTACGGAAGAAGGAACGAACTTTCCCAGGAAAGCTTCTTTGTGAAGTGAAGATAGAAACGTGAATAGTTTAGCAGTGGAATTTCCTCCTGAATGAATGCAAGAATTGTAACATAAATGGTATATGGAAATGAAATGACGAAAAAAAAACATTGAAATCAATGCACATTGTCCCTTTTCCTTTAACTAGCGTATTATTGTGATTTTGCTAATTACCTAAACTTAAGTTGTCGTGACATTGCACACCAGATGTCCGGGATGGAGCACGCAATAATATTGTTCTACTTTCTCCTTTGCTACAGTTCTATGCGTTGTTATGCATGAAGCAGGTCTCCGCCACGATCGACGACAGTGATGTAACGAAACTGCTAGGAAATTTTCTATCCTCTGGTTGTATCCATGCTATGTTTTACAGCAAAAGTTGAACGATGAGCATTCGTGGGAGCCAGTAATTTGTAACACTATATTTCAACCTATCACCTGGAACAGATGAAACTTTTAACTAGTTTGTCAGTTCCTAGCACTTAAAATTTCATGATAAGATTCCTCTACGTCACAAAAAAAGATTGACAAAATGAAGATATCAAAGGCATGGAAGCACAAATGCATTTCTAGCTGTCAAGAAGCACTTCTGTTGTTTGCCCATAGTCTGTCGTCTATAAGCTTCCTTTTAGTAGACTTCTTCAGCGGACTTGAACAGAACAGTGAATGAGAGACATGCGAGTCATCAAATAAGACTCCGAGAAAGGCTTAATAGGGTGCAACAAGTCTAAATATTCTAAATACATGAGAACCTCATGAACTATCACGAGAGTGAAATAGTGTTGTTCCTAATACTTATCAAGTTTCAGAACTTTCTAAATTCCGGTGCGATAAACGTGGTTAGCGAATTAGTGATGCGTAGACCTTCATGGCACGCTCTTGTGCGAGTTAGGTAGCCGAATTAAATGGCTAGAGCCAACGGCTGCATAGCATCCAAAGCTTTTAATTTCAATGTTGCTGTGAGTGGAATGCGACCGAAAACATTCGAAATCCGGCTTGTATATAATCTCTCGCCTTATTTGACTCATAATTAACTGAGGGTTGCCCTGGGCTGTCCTTTAAACCCGTATAACTCCCACACTGTTACTTATTCCGGATTTTGAATTATCCCTTACAAAGAAATATTCGATGAATATGACAATTTCAAAAATAACTTCATGAAGTTTTTCGATGCGCAGATATCTGACCAAAAATGATCAAGGCAGTTAACAATAACATTGAATGTATCTTTTAGTAAAGCTGCATTTAAACTAGTAAAAGTAAAATTTATGATGTGCTCAAAAAAGCCTTGTATCCCAAATAATGCTACCACCTCTGATTAGAAATTCTTTAAGTTCCAATTTCTTAAACGTGTTCTTATAAAAACATCAACAAACTGGTAAATTAAAAGCCTTCAGGAATTTTTACTGCCGAAATGGTGCACAGAGGCGTGTGTAGCGCAGTGGTTAGAGGTGCTCTGCAATACATATTTCATCGATCCCCGCGCCCCAGGCCCACCAAGCCTTTCATCCATCAGGGGTCGGCAAGATAAATTGTCTAGTAGGCTGTGAGTCATTGAAAAGACCAGACATGTATCCACTGACCTCTAACTATGCTTGATGAAGTCGATGGATGGCGTATCCCTCAAGGATTGATCAACGTCTAGAGCTTTATCCTTTTATCCTTTAAATTGAAAAAAAGTCATTGTCACTGGAATAGTGAGTTTCCTCATCACTGTGGCTGAATTGCTTGTGACATCAAGCATTCAACTGAAAGGAGAAAAAATGCAATTCTTTTCTGAAAAAAATCTGCATGAATTAGAGCGTCACTGTCAAACATCAGGGCATGTCAGTTATGTCTTAGCTAATCGTAATACTATTTACTTGGGTACCTCGTCGGCACCTCTTTATGAATTGTGTCGACTCCTACACACTTTCCTTTGCTTTCTTTTCCTCACGTTCCCTGGACTTCCGAGGAGAACCACACGAAAGTCTGGCCCATGTCGTCACCACCACAGGCAATCGCCGCCCTTGTGGATCAGAGGGAGATTAGTCACTATGCAATTTGTTTGGTACCAGGACGGTGATGGATCCTGATATTGGTTTACTCTTAGTTGGGCTTCGTGAGGGAAACGTTGAACTCCTTCTCGGCTTGGAGACGCTGCTGGAGGGATGAATTCCCCGTTGTACCAACCAGCCACGATGAGGCGGTAAATCGTTGAAGGGAGATAGAAGGCCAGTTGAGGGAAAAGAGAAGGTGTGGTTATGAAAACGTTAGCCACCGGAAAGGGTAATAGCGGGAGTGATCTCCATTGCAGACCCCTGCGGTCTAGACTTTTGGAAATATCTCGGCTCCTTCTCATACTTTTGTAGTATTTAGGTGGAATTTCTTGAGCAATGATTGCGACAGCATTATCCAATAAAAAGACGCTAAGTGATGACGCCTTTCACTTGGCTCGCTTCGACTTCGAAACAATTGCATAGTGCTTCCTTCGTGCATTGTTCGTGGATGGTCTTGTCCACGGGTATTGTTTCCAGTTACAAACAATTCTGGGTAGATAAAACATAAGCACGTTCTTCCATCTTGCATGTAGCGAAATAAGATTCTGGGATCTTTTCAGTCCACGCTCCTTCTCATCCATCTGTCGTCAACTATCATTGATTTCTGGGTCCTTTCGATGTTAGGAAAATAATACCAGTTTTTTTTGAGGATGAAATCACTAATTTGACATATTAGTGGACTCTGGCAAACTCCATTGTCGTTATATGCCAAATACCTATTAAGTCATGTCTACGATGCTTAGTGAAATCCATCGATCAGAGTTGAATGAATAGGCTATCCCTAAGGAACTACAGATCAACGCTGATTGCTCCAAGCTTCTTTCGTTTACTTATTTTTAGATATATATATATATATATATACATGTGTGTACATTTACATCTTCACATGCTATTGTCTCGGAGACTTTTAACGTCATCGAACACATAAAATAAACGGATCGATAGATAAATGGCATCGCATCATTGGTTTTCAAGACGAATTGGTGAATTTAATAATAGTTTAGTACGATCGCACTAGATGGCTGTCGATGATTTCTTTAGCACCAGCTGGGCAAAACACTTAGTAGGTCGACCCCGAAAAACAGACTAGCGAAGCGCTGACGCTCCGTCCCAGTAACAACACTGCCACTTGTGGTCTTCGTGCGAGATGTTAGATTTTAGTAGCAAACGGTCTCTAGCACAAATTATTAACCTTTTATATCAAAACTTACTGAGGGAATCTTGTTGTTGACATGTGATCGAATTCTTATCAACTTTCGGTCGTTTTCTTCACTGTGAATCGTTTTCCCTTTCCTTTTTGCCTCGGTTTTTTCTATTGTTTCGTATAAGAGCATTGATGATGCCGTAGCATATCTTTACCGTATTCTATAAATTCTTTATCTTTATGATCCCACGTATAAGCCTATGACGCCTTGAGATTGAGATGATTTAAGTGAGGTTTTAAAATATGTCCTAGGACGAAAAGGAAACATTTGGTGTCTTAAGAAGTGGCACCAGCTAAAAAATTGTCTTCCTGTCTTTCTCGTTTTTCACAAATGAAAAAATGTTGGTACTAAAATTCATTCGCAGAAGACAATTGCTTGGCTTTTTAAATATGTTTTCAAGTTTCTATAAACTTTCCAAGTTTCACTGATCGTAGCAATTTGTCTTCGTAAGATCTCTGTCCGTTCCACAAAAATTCTTAAAAACTTGACCCAGTGATAAATAAGACGCCAGAATGTCTTTAATGTTTTTCACTATCGCCGCCTCTGTCCCAGAATTCCAGCCGAGCTCCACTGCAACACTCTAAAATGTCCACTGTTATATCCTTCCAGCTTATCATAATGGCCGCTTCTCACAAGTCTTATAAGAAAATGTTCCTTAATATGATTTCGATTGTCGGTGTTTTCAGAACAATATGAAGTCTTGGATAAGATATTCAGTTCTCTTCACATTTTTCAAAATAGGTAACGACTTATTTTAATAAGATTTATGCTATGCAAAACAAAACCCATAGCCCAGCAATCAGTTTTCGAAAGGAAGAAAAAACGGAACCTTTTTCCATGTAACAGTATATTGTTGAGAAGGCGGATAAAGCATAGTGGTTAGATGTGCACTAACGAACCAAACCCTCCATCACTACATGACGGTAAAGTTGGCACTAGACTTGTCTCGAAGGGATAAAGAGATTGTCTTTATAGGCCCGTGTAAGTCAGTCTACTATAGATGTTCACAGAAACAATATTTCCTAGCAGGAGAACTGTCACTGGTGAAATATATATTCAGCCACCTTCACGATGCTATGATGAAGTCGAAAGCGTGGCGCATCTCTCAACGATTGATCGACGTCGAACATTTCATTCTTTTATCCGCTCACTTGCATTTTTTCATAGTTTGATCTATGAGGTCTATCTGCTGGTAGGTCTAATACCCCCTATATTAGACCTGTAGGTCTAATATAACCACCCTCATTTCCTATCAGAAATCTTCAACGCCTAACGATTGAAGTTTATAAATGCCAGTCTCATAGAAGTCATGTGGCTAGAAAATCAATCTCTCAATCTCACTATCGACTTGATACTGACCTGCAAAACCTTCCGCTTATAGGTTTATAGCCTAAAGACTGATTGGTCTAATGGTGTGCGGCATGCATTCGGCTTCATGGTGGATAGTTAGAGGTGATTGAATTCTATCTGGCCTGTGCGATGGCTTCCAGCTGCTTACCGATGTATCAAGTCGGTGCTGCTGTGCTCCCAAATAGCTCTGGTGCCAATCTGTCGACACCGGAGAGACGGAAGGCATGGTGAGTTTTGGGCGCGGGATCAAACCCAAGTGCATTGTAGGGCGTCTCTAACCAATGCACTACGCTCGTCCCAAAAACGGTATACGACTCTTAAATCCTGTGGAAGTAAGCGAGCATTCATTGAATGAATAGTGCAAAAAAAAGCACGGTCCACATAGCAATTCGGGCAATAGCCATTCATTATAGTATTCCTTAAGTTTTATGACCACAATAGTTCCCAAGTTTAATTAACAATTAAGGAGAGTTGAGTGGTTGTAAAAATGAAGAAGGATCAGCGAAAAGGATCGCTATCATTGGTGAAGGCGTCATTGGCTTGTCGACGGCGTTGGCTATAAAACAACAGGAACCGAGCGCCAAGGTATGGACGATGAAAAATCCATTAGAAAAACGTAATGAAGCAAGTATTATCGAAAATGGTCAGCCGTGAATAAACTACAAGATAGCGATTAGAAAATCTAGGAGCGAAAACAATGGAGGGATAGCTCCACAACTTCCACTATGTGCCTTGTTAAACTTGCTTGCTACATGGCCAGCAAAGTGTGGACGATACCAGTCATATAAAACTCACCAATCGTTGCAAAAGCTTTTATCTCTGCCGCTTAAGCTTTTTGTAATAGTTTATGTTAAAGTGTTAGTTTCTCGGTTATTATAGATATTCTTCTGACATGCGGAACCAAAAGGATACTGTAAGAGTACGATATCATATTTCACCTCATTGCTATGCTTTTGATATGTTATATTCAAACGCTATTTCCTTGTTTGTCAAAGTAATTGCTTCCTGACAAAGACCATAACTAAAGCAATAAGATGTTACGACAACGGTCCAACGGCATTTCTTCTTTTCAAATGCAACATGTCTAGAACATTCATAGATTTTAATCATAGTAAGTGATCAGCATCATTCAATTCCTTCAGATTACGATCTTTCATGACGTTCCGTTCAATAAGACACTTAGCAAAGGAATCGCTGGATTGTATCGCATCGATAAGGCAACACCTATCCGAAGGTTAGCACGGAGTAGATATCTCCTGATGTTTATTTCATTTTACCCAAAGTTTTGGACCAAAAATTCCTACTTATTATAGTCTACCACTTCTATCAGTTTCAAAACAACCAGGACATTCTTATATTAACACAATAATGGAAAAAATATGTGTTCATTTTCTTGATATACTTACTTGGATACTTGGATGGTCCGTCTTCACGAGTTGTGAGGACCCCAGCATAATTGCCATTCGTTTCATCCCCTCGCTATCGTCGTTCGTCCACGGTGGTGGTTTTATTCAAGCGTGGTGGCGCATGTGAGTGCGTCTCCGGATCAGCTAGTAAGAAGACCGAGCGAAGTGTTCTGTCGATATATGTCACATAAATTCTATTTAGGTTATACGGTAACGAAACTTTTATGCATCTTGCGGATCTGTGGAGGACATATGGCGGTGTCAGTGGTGTTCAACTACTTTCTGGTCACATTCTTTCAGAAGATCAGGATTTGTTGTTGGAGCAGGTTGGTTTCACATTTCAATATCTGATTTTCTTCGGTATTCTTCTTCGTACAAAACTCTAACCATCTACCTTAATGCCTGAAATTTGGATTTAGAAGAAGGCTTATTCTGATATCGTCTATAACTTCCGATTCTTGAGCCAACGTGAATTGGCATCACAGTTTGTCCTCGATGAGAGAAAGTAGGTGTTTCCTTCACTTTACTCCATATTTTTTAAACTGTGAATACAATAATATATAGCTTGTAGCTAAACTTTGCGTCTAACAAATTTTTCTTAGTGCTTTATGTCTCGTGACCTGCTCTCTCTTATAATCACTAGACGATGTTGGCTAAGAACCTATTTGTAGTAGGGTCAAAATGTATTTTATATAGTCTCTTTGTATTCTTCTTTTTATTCTTGTTCTGGGCGTCTGTAGCACAGTGGTTAGAAGAGTTCTTGAATACACATAAAATCGAACCTACACCCCAGCGTCACTAAGCCTTTCATCTTTCCGGGTTTGGTGAATTGGTATGACACTTGTCTGTAAGGATGGCAGCACCGATTGCACTGATATATCGGTAGGTCACCGTGAGTCACTGTAAAGGCCAGATATGCATTCGATCACCTTCAACGATACTTAATGAAGTCGAGTGCACGGAGCCTCAGCGATTGATCAACACTGAGAGCTTTATCCTTTACCATTTATCCGTTGTATTCTTCAGTGAAACATTTGCGATCCACTACACTGCTTTTACCTCTGAAGGTGCAAAGTACTGTCCATGGATGAAGAAGGAACTACTGGCTAGAGGCGTGCAGTTCGTGCAGAGACGAATCAACAGCCTGGATGAAGTATGAGTTTTCAACATCTTCTAACGTATATTTATCCTACTTGTTCCTTGTTTGTTTCTGCATTTATTCGTCATTATTTCGTTCATTGACATAGGTACCTTCCGCTCCGTTGTTATTGCTAATAATGTACTTTTTTTATTTATTTTATCTGATCCGTCTTCACTCTACTGTGCCGATCCCAGTACTTCTCACGTCCAATTCATTTCCTCTCATCCATCATCCACAAAGGTCTTCAAAGTTTTTATGTGTGGCTTCGGGCGAAATCAAACTAGCACCATGCTCGTGATAACCGACATCATTACCACTGTGCTATGCACCATAATTCTATATTTTACTGCTTTTATCTATAGAATCTAATTAGAAGAGTAGTGAATGTCTGTTCAGTTGGGTGATGAAGGATTCCCTATCGTCGTGAACTGCGCAGGATTGGATGGCGGACGTCTCGCTGGTGACAAAGAAGTATATCCGATTCGTGGAATTCTTCTCAAGGTGGAAGCGCCATGGCAAAAGCATTTTCTCATGCGAGACTTCGTTACATTCACCATACCGACGTGAGTTGCACTAACAAAAATCCGTCAGTAGACCCTCATGAGTGTCGCTGTTCTTCTTGCTCCAATGATCCCGGGTTATGCACGTTCTATGGGAAAAAAATTGTTCTAATAGATTTAGATGTAATTCTTCGTATTTTTGTTGAGCAAACGCGAGGTGTTATTATTCTTTATTCACAAATGAGCTGACGTTTCGGCGGATTTCGCCTTCCTCAGAGCCTGGAAAGGTCAAGTTGACAGCAATCTACTTGGCCAGACGCCTCCATAACCAAACAAAGAAACTCTAAACCAAGATTTCAATCACATTGAACACAGCTTTGCACACTCACCGCTTTCTATGAGGTCTCCACTAAGTATGTCACGTAGAGACCAACCGCACAGAAATCACATGGAAGTATAATGTACCCCACTCATCAGAATAGCAGTCTTATATACTGCCCTACATCACGCGTGATAATGAGGCATTCTTCCCTGCGGTTCATTTTCGGATTTCTGGAATTAATCCAGAGTGCCTCGAGAGTTTTTCGCGCCTGTGTTCTTGATTCGCGTGCAAGGGTCGTGACACATACTTCAAAGTCCTCCCC